TCAAGAATATAATTTAAGACCTTACTATTGAGGTAGATCCTTCTTTTTGGTTTTTTTTTTCTTTTCCTACTATTGTTACAGTTCTTTCTTATCTTGATTCCTTATCTTATAATTCTTTTTTATTCTTTTTTATTTCTTGTTATGGACTTAAGCTGACTTGAGCTTTATCTAGGGAAAAGAAGAAAAAGGAACGTTAATGTTCTTATAACAAAAAAAAAAATTACAATACACACTTCTATAATCTACCATTTCATCAAATTCCAAATTCAGGAGTTCTTAAAGAAAAAAGAGAAAAGGAACGTTAGTGACGTCTCTACAACAAAAAATAAGTATAACACACACTTTTTTAACCTACCATTTTGCTAAATTTCAAGTCCAGTAGTTGTTCAAAGAATGTTAGTGATGTTCAAAAAAAATATAAAACCAGGAGTACAATTTTTTAAAAAAAACCTTACAATCAAATGAATCAATAAAAAAAACTGTTTAAAAATTGTAAAGTTGGTTACAGTTTTCTAAAAAAAAAAAATTTTTTATAATTTAAGCTGTTTTTTATACATTTTTTATAAAAAAATTAACCAATCAAGTTAAATTAGCCAATTAAATTTTAGTTGTACAGTAAATCACATGATAGGGAATGCAAAATTTAAAAGCATTATACGGGTGCGAGATCTAGATTTACCCTAAATTTATTTTAAAAAAATAATACATTTTAAAATAAGATGTTCTAAACCTTGTAATAATATTGTTACTATTTTGCTCGATTATGTTATATATAACGATAATTATATAAATTGTTATAAAATCATAAAGTTGAATAAATTAATTGATATTATACTTTGAAATCCGTATTTACAAATGAAAATCATAATTAAATAAAAGAATACTTGCAAAATCATAATTTCGTTTTTTTCTTTTAATAAGAAAGAAAGTCAGATCAATTTATCAGTACTATACTAACAGTCAGTCATTAAAGCTATTAACATCTTTCAACTTTTCTAACTTATCATTGGCTTCTTTAATCATTTTCTCAAGTTCAATTTGATGTTGTGAAATTTTTCCAGTTAATTCACGAACTTCTTTATGTCTAGCATCAATTGATTCTTTTGATAATGCTACTAATTCTCGAGCATGACGTTCGGTTTTTAGAATTTGTTCACTACGAAGGCTATCGATAGTATCAACTGAAAAAGGTAGTTGTGGAACTTCAATTTTCAATTGACTAGTGGATTCTGTCCCAGCTGTCATTTGACTACTAAAAAAAAAAAACCATAAAAATAAATTGATAAAAATAATGAAAAAAAAATTAGTAATTTTAAACATCATCCTTACTATCCTTACTTTATATTTTCCAATTGCATTTCAGTATCATCTTCAATAATGCGATAACTTAAATTTCTTCTCTTTATAGCTTCTTCATTTTCTTCTCTTGCCTTTCTTTCTTTAGTTTTTCTATGAATTCTTTTTATCAAATCGTAAATCAATTGATCCTTCCAAATAATATCACGAGTTTGTTTTTTACCAGTTGTAAGATAATCATCCATCGCTCTAATCATCTTATGAACTTTACAATATACTGAATTAGCACCTCGAGAATTATTTGTGGCTTCTACCGCTTTATTACAAGTTCCATAAGAATTTTCATACCAATCTCTAAAATTATTATTAAGGTAAATTAAAATTTCGATCAACTCTGAAGCATTCCATCGTTTTCCCCCACCCAATTGAGACATCTTTTTTTTTAAGTATAAAAGAATTTAAGAGATTTACTTTTTTTTTTTTTTTTTTTTTTTTTTTCGAAATGATAAAACGACTAAGACTCGTCATCGATTTTTTTATAACGTTACAACTTACATGATTAGGCCGAAATTACTGAAATTAAAATTAAAGAAAAAAAAGAAAACGCGCATAAAGAAATAATTTACTCGGTAAATCAATTATGCTAGTCTAATTATCACACTAATACAATATGGGTTTAGAATTTAAAACATACATCTATTTTTAAGAGTATTGCTAAATATCACCGCTGGCGATTGTCACCTTACTAGAATTAGGGTAGAATTTTGGGCGGAATTAAAAATGTTATGAAACTCTGCCCATTAATATTTGCTAATGCTGGTGAGGATCACCTGCGGGTGAGATTTAGCAATGCTCATTTTTGTAAAAAATACCATTAAAAATCACGTTACTTTGTTAATTTCACCCAGTTGATACGTCATAATCTGGTAGTAACGCCTCTTATTTTGATTGGCAGATGGGCAAATTTATGATCGTCGATCGACAAACTTTTACGTTACATTTAATGATACAAAAAATCAATATCGTTAAATTTTAATAACCCTTTTTTATTTAAAATTTTCATTTAACTAACAACTTAAAATAAACTACAATTTTAAATACCAAATTCCTCAAATAAAACTATAAAAGAAACTATAAAAAAAAAGAATTTGATGATGATAAAAATTCTTCGATCGTGCTCAATTTAATTTCGCTTATATAATAAATAATCATATGTTTGCTTAAGTAAAAAAGAATATATACATAATACAAAAAGCTAAGCCCATATTTCTTATTATGTAAAAGAAAGAAAAAAAAAGAATCCTATTATTCTATTTAAAAAAAAAAAAATTACGTAAATTAATCAATAAATCATATTACAAAAATAAACATCAATCTAATTAAAGATAAGAGATTATTACCAATTTTATACCAATTTTATACCAATTTTATACCAATTTTTTATACCAATTTTTATACTATAGAAAAATCCTTCAAATCATTCAATTTATTATTAGCCATCTCAATTAATTCGATAAGTTCAGAACGACGATGAGAAATTTGTTCATATAAATCACGAATTTCTTGATTTCTTGTCTCAATAGTCTCTTTTGATTTTAATACCAAATTTTCAACTTTTTTAATTTGTTCATTATAAATCTCATCAATCGTTTCAATTGAAAAAGGCATCTGAGGAACATCTATCTGACTTGTAGTCGTAGATGCTTCAGTTGTTACAGTTGTTATCGCTTTACTAATACTAGAGAATTGATGGTTAATATAAATTTGTAATACTGTTAGTATAAAATGTGATATAATGATGTCATACCTCTTCTTACGATTTTTCGTAGTTTCATCTTTTCTCTTTCTTTCTGTATTTTTATAACACATTTCTTTTATCAAATCACGAACTTTTTTATTCTGCCATAAGATGTCGCAAGTATTCGAATTTTTTTTACCCGTCCGAAGGTAATCATCCATAATTCTAATCATATTATGAACTTTACCATAAACTGAACTACCTCCTCGTTTAACATTAGTAGCCATTATTGCTTCAGCGCAAGCAACATAAGGACTATCATACCACGTGTCAAAATTATCATAAAGATAATTTAAAACTACCACTATTTCTGAAGATTCCCATCGTCTTGGTTTCTCAGGTCTAGGCATCTTTTTTTTTAATAGTAAAAAAATAAATCGATCGTATCTTTGTATGTATGTAAAAGAACGCAAAAAAAAAAAAGTTTTTTTTTTCTGTGAAATGAGATGAGCGGATATAAAATCGTTATCTAACGAATTAAGCTATAAAAGGAAGTTAACGACGTTCTTTGAATTTTTTTTAAAAATAAAGTATCTAATATAAAAGTGGAAATATGATTTCCTGTTAATCAGCGTCATCATTACCATATTTTCTGTAAGATATGCAGATAAAAGTTTATATTAATAATTGTTGATATTTATTGGTGTTCTTGTGTTTAAAACTCATTTGAATAAATGGATGGCTTCTACCCATATAAGGATATTATTTTGTTTTCAACTGTCAATTTGTTTAGATTATACAAGTAAAAGTGAGTCATCTCAATCATCTATGTTACCAAAAAAAATTTAGTGTGTGAAAAAAAATAATCGGCAGAATATACGGGCAGAATAGAATTGAATAGAAAAGAACAATAATAAAATAGAAATAAATGTACTGTATCAAATTTATGATAATTTCATTAATACAATCAAATGAATCGATATGCCCATATTTATTATTTAAAAAGAACCAATATGAAAATCGTGACATGCATTGATAACGCCACCGCCGAAAAATTATCCTATAATTATCCATAATCCGTCGTCAAGCGCAGCAACTGAGAAATATTTTTTTTTGACGCGAAATTTTATATCGGTTGTATTTAAAATTTAATAATTGAATATACACATATTTTTTTATTAATTAAAATCTTGATTTAATATAAAATTTTGTACAGAATAATATTAATCAAAACGTAGGATGTAATGTTTTTAGGGATACAATTAAATGAGTATCGTTCTTAAGCTAAGAATCTAAAGAATCGAAGAATTTTCAAATGTCAATATCCAAACGAACAATTAAACTATACAGGAAAGAATATTGGTACAAATATCTTAAAAATTCTTTTAATTCTTTGGGCACCTTAATTTGCCCAACCTTAACTAAATAATAATTAAACTTACAAATGATATGCGTGATACGTCGCATATATATTTGAAATCTTTATCGAAAGAAAAAAAAAAGATATGATATTAATAAAAATCACGTACAAATGGTACAGTAAAACCAATTCAAGAAAAAGAAGAAAATTTTTGATTTACCATTTACTATGCTCCAATTAAATCATTGAAATTTTTTAAAATCATCAAATTTTTTATTGGCAATCTCAATAGACTCGATAAGTTCGGCTCGAAGTTTTTCAAATTTCTTAATTTTTTCATTATAAACATTATTAACCTCTTCAACAGTAAAAGATAATTTAGGAATGTTCCTATTTGTGTCATTTTGATTAGTAGATTCCTCAGATGATACCGTTATTTGATCGATGCTAAAAAGAAATATTTGTTAATAATTTAATAATTATAATGAAATGTTTAATGAATCAACAACGTACTTCATTTCAACATCACCGTCACTCATACGACTTGAAGTTTCTTGATTTTCATTTCTCTTTTTTTCTCTGGATTTCACACACATTGCTCTTACCAAACTATGAATTTCTTCATTTTCCCAAATAACGGCAGAATTATTTGCTTTTTTGCCGGTATCGAGAAATTTTTCCATATCCTGAACCAAACCATGAACTTTATTATAAACTTGTTTTCCGTCTCGAATTATATTAGTTGCTTCTATTGCTTTAACACATGCAACGAAAGGACTTTTATACCAAAGTTCAAAATTATCATTGAGATAATTAAGGACTTTAATTGTATCTTGAGTTTCCCAACGTTTCGGTTTATCTCGAGGCATCTTTTTTAAGATAAAAAAAAATAAAAAATAAAAATAAAAAATAAAGAATAAAGTATAAAGTAAAACAGTAAGAAATGAAAAAGAAAAGAAAAGAAATGGAATGAAATGAATCTAGAAAATATCAACAAAGAATCATCTGAAAAAGTTCCTAAAAAAGTAGAATGGATGGTTTATTTATCTACCTGCTGACCTGTACCATTAAGTAGCACGAAAAGAAATAGAAGTTATATGTTAATTGATTACCTTCCTTAGTTAAAGTTCACGGAGAAAAACTCCTATCAATTTTAATAAGGTATAAATTATTGTTATTGTTTATGTTTCTTTGTACCATTTAAATACAATCAAATATGGTATTCAATGATGTATTCTTGTGCCACAGAAATTTTTTATAGAATCAAATTTAGCGTTATATATATTAGAATATTATATACATTTTGTGAAAAGAACATTAATAAGCAGAAAATAAAGAACAATATATAATAATATAAATAATATATATCATTTAAGTACCAATTAGAAAAAAACTATATGTTTTACATCATGATTATATTCTGTTTTAAGATAATCTATTCAACATTTTAAACATTATCATTCCGCCCATCGACATCACATAAATTATTTTTTATTTTTTGTATTGAAATTTTCATCCTACAATTATATCACATATTATGACAACAAATCATATTTTTTATTTGACAATATAATTTCACTTTAAATGGCGATAAAAACATAAAATAATTTTATTTTCATACTATATATACATCAAATCATATTTCTAATATCGTAAAAAGTAACGAAAAGATGCCAAAATCACGTATAAAACATAATTTTTCATAATTCAAATATCAACCGATCACTTAAGAATTCCCTTTAACAGGAGACTATTGACAATATCAGTTGTATATTGAGTAATATTCTGGATATCTTCATCACGCCTAGTATCAATTTGTTTAACCTTTTCTTTATAAACACCCTCAATTACAGACGTTATTTGACTTGTGGATGTTGTTGGTACTTGACTTGCAGATGTATTTGGTACTTGACTTGCGGATGTTGTCGCTGCTTGACTTGCGGATGTTGTTGCTGCCTGACTTACGAATGTTGCTGCTACTTGACTTGCGGATGTTGTTGCCGCTTGATTTGCGAATGTTGTTGCTATTTGACTTGCGGATGTTGTTGCTGCTTGACTTGCGGATTTTTGATTAGCGCTAAAAAAGAAAATAAAAAGAAAATAAAAAAAAAATTAAAAAAAATAATGGATAACGTATAATTTTGATAATTAAAATATTTAACTTATAAAGTTACCATACTTTGTAGTCATATTAGTGTTACTGTTAGTTGTAATTTTTTGTTTATTGTCACTCGTAATTTTTTTTTTTCCTTTACATTTGTCGTCTAATCCTTCGTCCAAAACTTCGGTTTTTTTATTAATTTCTTTTACTAAACTACTAATCTTTCTCCTCTTTAAAGTTTTGCAAGCTTTACGTCTTTTAGGAGTTTTAATAGCTTGAAGCAACTTATTAACCATACTATAAATTGATTTAGCATCTCTATCAAGATTATGAACTTTGGCCACTTTAGTACAAGCATTTATCCGATGTTTGCACCATAAAGAAAAATTTTCATTAATAAACTCGAGAACTTTAATTATCTCTGTGGTCTTCCAGCTTTTTCCAGTCATTATTATTTACCTGTTATTAAAAAAAATAAAAAAAATAAAAATAATAAAAATAAAAATAAATAAAAATAAAAATAAAAAATAAAAGGAACGAAATTTATAATTTTTAGAAAAGTGAGAACGTACAAGTATTAAAAACGTTTTAAATTTGTTATGGAAAGAATCAAATAAATGCCGGAGAAATAACTCCTTAAATACTAGTTACTAGCTTTAATAGGAAATATTGGCGGGTATCTGGTATCACAAAAAAATTTTTTTAAGTAAAAGAGAAAAAAATATCAACCTATTATTTTTAAAATCGTTCATCTAATAGAAAATATATAATAGTTACAGTATATATTAATACTACTAATACTTAATCGTTAAAGAATTCATTCCAAGTAGATATTTTCTTTGTCCATACATCGTAAACATTTTACAAGACCAACTCCATCATAAAGAGGTATTTTTTTTTTTGGTGCATTTTTTTTTATGAATTTTATTTTTTTATATCGTGGTTATTTGAATTTTTATTATTGATAAAAAAAAAAAATTTTTTTTCCCCTTACAAAATATAAAGCCGAATACACATTTTTCATTCTCATTCTATTTTCTTATATAAATTATATAAAATTATGTACTAAATGATTAATAAATAAAATAAATAATTATATTCATTTCATTATCATACTTTTACATAAAGTACACAATTAAAATAATTAAAATATAAATAAAGTTTAATCAGTCATTACTCCCGGTTGTTCCCCTCTGCCCCGCCCCCCTGGGCCCTGGTCCCCAGCACAAATTTGATTCCGCAGAAGTACTCAAATAAGAATGATTTAAGTTTTGTACAACCAAACAGTGCGTTTAAAGAACATACTAATACAGTTATTAAAGTTAAGCCAAAAAAACAAAAATAAAGTGAATCAATCCTTTTTTTGGATAATGTCAACTGAAATTTTATCACATTTAGTAATACTAGGCTGGCATTATGAAATTCCTTTAAATATGCGCATGTGACAATACTACTGATGTGGTATGTTCATCTGTGATTCCAAAGACGGTTCCAGGAACTTTATACGTTTAAATGATCTACACCTTATGCAACAAATCTTTTCTTGGTAAAGACAATTAAAACGAAGAGATGAAATATTTGCTAAAGCATTTATATAAAAATGTTTCTACACAATTTAGTTCGTTTTAAATAATTTACGTGTATTCATAAATTTAATAATTAAAAAAATTATAATATATAAATAAACATCAAATCAGAAATTTATTTAATCTATTTGCAAAAGAAATAATAATAATGTTGGATTATTTTATTATTTTTTACCGATTTTTTTTATACCTTACTATATGACAAAAATTAATGATGTTCGTACAATTCGTACAATTTAAAGTTTGTTAAAGATCCGGTATTTTACTTGTTAATAAACTAGGATCGGTATGTGAGTGGTATTCATTAAGCGTGTTTGATAATTTTAATTTAGTCCGATCAGCGGTTAAAAAAATAAATGGTTTCTTTCTTTAAAAATATATCTTTCATAGATAAAAAATGTTGGTACAACAAACAATGAGTCATCGAAAATATTAACATAAAGAATTTAGTATGTGAAAAAAAAAATACGATTTTAGACAAAAAGTAATTTTGAAAGCTACTCTTTTTTTTTTTTTTTTTTTTTAAAAAAAAAAAAAAAAAAATATGCCTCGGGCTGACAGAATGAAACGCTGGGATTATACGGAACTAGTTAAGGTTCTTAAATTCCTTAATAATAATTTTAATAAATGGTTTGAAAACCATATGGAGGCTTGCACTGCAGCGTCTAAAAATACAAATATCGATCGAGATGCTTCGTCAATATATAGTAAAGTTCATACTTTAATAAAAGATATGGAAAATTCTATTGAAGCGGATAGATCACCTACTTGTAATATTCTTAGAGAAAGCAAAAAAATAAGCAAATTAGTAAGAAAAATTTGTATCAAAACTAGAGAAAGAACAGAAAGAACTCAAATAAAAGAAAGTCAAGAAAAGAAAATAAACCGTAAAAGTGGTGGTGACTTTAAAGTTAATATAGAGTACGGTGACTTTTTTTTTTACAAAAAAAAAATAAACAATTTATTTTGTTAATTTTATTTTATTTTATTTTATTTTAGAACTAATCAAGTAACAACAGTAGGTGAGACATCTACAAATCAAATGAATCAAATGGGTAGTTTTCAGATGCCTATAGTAATTGAAGAGGTTAAAACTCTATGTAACGAAAGAATACAAGGAATTGAAACAAAACGAAAAGAAGATATTGAAAAAATTTCCCAAATCCAATCCGAAATGATTGAAACACTTATGGACGCCAATAATAAGATCAATAATAAATGTGAAGAACTAAAACAATATCAGTGATTGATTGGATAGAGTGATGTAGATATTCTTGAGATTAGCATTAGAAATTTTTTTTTTTTATGGATATATTCTCATCGGTAAAAAAAATTACTGAAATTACTGTTTTTATATATAAAATAAAATTTATAATTCGCAATTTAAATTCGGGATAAACCGATTTTGACTCATACCGATTTTTTTTCCCCACGTATATAATTAATTTCTATATACCGATTTTATTATAAATTTCGCGATATAGCTATACCGACGTTAAGCTGTAAACCAGTTACATTGTATTATTCACGATAAGCCGATACCGATTTTTTTTTCTACATACCGATAGGACCCAGAAATATATATATAGGGGTCAGGTGGCGAAAAATTTTTTTACTATGAGCTGTACGCAGAGACTTTTTATATGAGTAGTACGCATAATTGACACCTGATATTGAAAATCCTGCAAAAATACGCAAATAAAATTTCAGACATTAAGTTATTAATTATTTTATCATGGCTTCTATATTATNTAAGGTTAGTATTTTTATTGTTAATTTGCAAAGGTTTTTTTTTTTACAAAATCAAAATTTAATTTATGATAAAATTTCATTAATATAAGCACGGTACTAGATATTACTTGTTAGAAATAGAATTGAAGCTATGAAATGTCACAAGAACTTAAAGAATTCCAAGCATTTATACCTGTCTCTTATACACATCTAGATGTGTATAAGAGACAGAGATATTACTTGTTAGAAATAGAATTGAAGCATATGAAATTTCACAAGAACTTAACAAAGAGCCTACTCCCTGTCTCTTATACACATCTAGATGTGTATAAGAGACAGACCCTACCCCTTGTATATATATTTCTGGGTCCTATACCGATCATCGTTTTAAAAAATTTTTTTTTTATTCGATCTTCACCAAAGAGAGTAATGTAACAGATGTAAGTTAAATATCTCGCCCCTTTTATTAACTCTTTTACTCTTTTATTATACAAATAAACGTGTTACTTTATCTGTAGTTCAATATAATGACCCAATATAATATAATAAATAAGGCGTCTATTATAAAAAAAAAATTGATAAACCGAATTATAAAAAATTTACATATTAAGTTCGGTGTAACAAGAATATTTGTTTTACCGAACTCTCAGTATAACGACCTAAAATCATCGAGTTCTGACTTAGTATATACCGATAAATCTAAGTTACACCAGCATATAATACTAACTTTTTTTTGCTTAACGCGTCGTGAAGTCTGTTCAAGATATTTCCAAACCAAATAAAGGAGTAATTTTTAACACATGCACAAAAAACGTCAACTCTGTCTAGATTCTCACGACAGAACTTGTAGCTTTATATAAAATTAAACAAAATACTGTTTCAGCAAGTGGTTACTCGTAATCCAGACTCAGAAGATGTAAGTAAACAAACTATTTATTTTCCTCAAGTAGAAGAAGCTCTTTCATTATGGATAACGAACGCGCTTGCTGCAGTCCCTATAAAAAATTTTTCAGAAAAACGATCATTTATCGGAGTTTTTTCCAGAATTTTTTTTACAGGGTATTAACACCGATATTTTACGCGAAAAAGAAAATATTTTGCACGACAATTTGAAGTCAATAATTTTTCAGTTTCTAATAGTTGGATCGATAAGTTTAAAAAGCGTCATAATTTAAAAGGATATATTAAGTTGAGTGAAGCAAAAAACGCGCTATTGGAAACTTTAGATGAAGAAAGAGATATTTTGCGTGAAATAATCAAAGATTATGACTTAAATGACGTTTTTGACTGGTAAATTTTTTTTTTTTTTTCAAAAGGCTTCTATTTTCTATATTTATAATTTTGTTTATTTTAGGATTGTATTGGGATGGTAAGAATCTTATTCGCTTTCATAATTTTCATAGTAAGAATGTTCTGTCCACGCAAAAAATAGACAAGGGTTTTAACATCATAATTTTTAATTTCCTCCACCAGCGTGGTCGACTACTTTCTTTGGGTTGGGAACCATCAAAAACATTGGCAAGGGCTTCTTTCCGGAACAAAGAAATCTAAAAAACGGATTACTCTGCTTTTTACATACAATGCTACTGGTACTGAAAAATTAAAGCCATTGTTTATTCATAAATACCAGAATCCACGAGCATATGCAAATGCGATTACAAAATCGCAATATCCTTTTGCTTGTTGATAGTGCACCCGTTAGTCCCGTACATATTATAAATGAAGAAATAAATTTAACCAATGTGGTTGCCGCCAAATACTACATCTCATCTACAGCCTTGTGATGCAGGAATAATTAATTCTTTTAAGGTTAGTATTTTTATTGTTAATTTGCAAAGGTTTTTTTTTTTACAAAATCAAAATTTAATTTATGATAAAATTTCATTAATATAAGCACGGTACTAGATATTACTTGTTAGAAATAGAATTGAAGCTATGAAATGTCACAAGAACTTAAAGAATTCCAAGCATTTATGCTGAAATCAATAGAATCATGAATATTTAAGTCAAAACATACAGGGAACTTACCAATAAGTGAAACAGGCGAAATTGATGAAATTAAGGATCACGCATCTCGGGATGAAATGGAATTACAAGATTTAATTAGCAAACTACCATTTGATGATCCTATGGATGCAGATGAGTTTCTTCGTATTGATGATTGTTTAAAAAGTAACGAAGGGTTAACTGATGATGCATTTGTATCTATGGTAAAGTCAAATAATAATAATGAACCAGAAGTAGATCCAAACGAAGTGCCTCCAGTAGTAATTTCTGTAACAAAAGCTTTAGGTTATTTGGATGATTTTTTAAACATTCATCGGATGTTTGTATTAATTCAAATGAATCAAAATGTATTGCAGAAGTTAAGACATCAAGTATTGAAATCACATATTAATAACTCAAAGCAGACTACGTTAGATAGTTTTTTTCAAACTCTTTAGTATAGTTTTTGTACACTGTACACTGTGTCACTGTATATACTAATACACATCTAATACATTAATATACTGTAATAATTTTTATACAAATATCGGTATATAAAATTTTCTTTTTTTAAAACAAAGGAAAACAAAAAGAATTTATTGAAATAAAATTATATAGACTAATTTAGTTATTACATTGAAATTAAAACATATAGACTAATCTAGTTATACACAAGATCGAATAATAAAATTGGTGACTTAAGACTTAGCGTTCAAAAGAACTAGCTACCATCATGCCTGCCCAGTTCGGTATATAAAATTTTCATAATGTACAATTGCACCGATAATTTGATATACCGATATTTTTTTCCAAAAATAGCTGTATCGGTATAATCGGTATATAGAGGTTTGACTGTAAACTGTAAAAAATTCATATACGATTTCAGATGCAATTTATGATGCCTTTTCTGTTGTGTGATATAATACAGTTATTTATTTGTCGTAACGCCAGATTCCTATTTTTCTTGCTGTAGCTTCCGCGGATTACGAATTAACGCCAAATTCCCATTTTTTTTTTTGCCGTATCTTTACAGATTATAAATTAATGTTTAATTTCCATAATTTTTTTTTTTTTTTTTTTTTNCCTTGCTTCATTTAATATAGACAAATCGACAAACCGTATTTATTAATCGACGCTAATGACACCAATAAATTTTATTAAAAAGTATTTATTATATAATGAACATAATGAACATTTGAACGGTTTTTATAAATTTTATTTTTTTTAAAAAAAAATATTATATTGAACGGTTTTTTTTAAAACGGATGGAATCATTGTTTGATCATGTGATTTGTTGGATCAATTTTCGGTACCCGCAGGTACGGACTTTCCAGACGTGGTACGACTGGTACGTCCGGATTAGGATTTAGGTTAGGATAAAAAATAGGTAATTAGATTAGGAACTTAAAGGTACTGTAGGTTATCAATCAGTTAACCATCGATTTAGCCATTTAGGTGTTAATCTTTATGCATTTGTTACGGTATTGTGCCTTATTGTTTTTTAGTTATGAAACTTTAACCGGTATGCTTTCTCCGATCTTTAACGTACGATGTATATACTATTGTATAAATGCATACTCATGGATTTGGTTCAACATCAAACGAGTGATTATATATGATTATTTATTTATTTACAATAACAAAAACATGGTATATAATCGGATAAATAAGCTAATCTAATGCTAAACTAAAACTAATCTAAACATAAGATAAGCAAACTAAACTAAGCCAACGTTAAACAAAATCTAAACTAAGCAAAAATTGACTGAACGGCTCAATTTAACGTTATTTATGCTTTGTCACTAAACAGAAGATTATGAAGGTCACGCGGATGAATTTATGACAAACTCGTTGAGTAAACGAGACGATGCGCTTCTTGAATAAATATAACGTACAATACGTACAGTGAAGAATTAATTATTACTATAAATTTTTCTTTTTTCTTTTTTTTTTTAAAAAAAAGGGCCTTTTATTCTAAATTTAAAATGATCAAGAGGTATTATAAACACACACTTTAACCAGTGAAGAGATTAGACTATGCAAGTTTACTTAATAATGTGTATATGTATAAATAAAGATATCAAAAGAAAAAGAGAAAAAAGAGGGAAAGAAAATTAAATAGATTCATTAAAATTAATATACTCCAATCACCATCGTGTTCGAAATATTTTATTATCTACAATAGAAAGATCATAATAATAAGAATCATGTACAGCAACGTATAAAATCCAAAATGATTAAAAAAAAATAATTACCTAATTCAAAGTTATTGAAATGCTTTTAATTCATTATATTTATTATTAGCTTTCTCAATCATTTCGATAAGTTCAGTTCGAAGAAGAGTAATTTGATGTACTTTATCGTTACAGTTAGTCTCAACTGAATCAAGTTGAAAAGGAATCTGAAAGTTAACCATATCAAATTCACTCTTGGCACTTTCAGCTATTTTTGTAAGTCTAGTCCGAGTTTCAGCAATTTGTTGACATTTTTCATTATAAAGTTTTTCAATCAAATCAGGAGAAAAAGGTAACTGAGAGACAGGTCCATTTACAGTCGATCGATTAGTGGGCGTTAGTTGATCAGAGCTTAAATGAAAAGAAAAAGAAATCATGAATGTTAATAAATAATCGTAATTACATATTCAATTAACGACACTTAATTTAAGGTTATTCATCAACATACCTATTTGACATTTCAACATCACCATCATCATCACGAGTTTTAGATTCTTGACTTCCTTCTTTTGACCTTCGTTCTAGATTTTCGTCTTTTTTCTTTTTTTCTTTATTGTCATCTTTCTTCTTTCTATCTTTGGTTTTAACATAAATTTTTCTTACTAAATCATGAATTTTTGTTTCCTCCCAAATAATGCTGCAAGTTTGAGCCTTTTTCCCTGTTTTAAGAAATTCGTCCATAGCTTTAATCAAACTATGAATTTTATTATAAACTGCTTTTGCATCACGTTTATTATTGTTGGTAGCTTCTATTGCTTTGAGACAAGCATTAAGATGGTTTGTACACCACATATCAATATTGTTATTAATGTAACTTAAGATTTTAATTAGTTCTGCATTTTCCCAACGTATTGGTGTATCTTTAGGCATTTTTTTTTTTTTTATAAAAAATTAAGAAGAAAAATATATATATATTATATTCAAAGAAATATTAAGAAAAAAGTTTTTTTTTTTTTTTACGTTAAAAATGTTCAAAGGAATTGTTTAGAATTTTTTTTTTTTTTTGTTAAAAAAGGAAGAAAAGAAAAATATTTATTTATCTAAACTGCTTAGTCGTTTCGTTGTACAAGAAAAGTTGAAAATAATTTTAAAATAATTTTTTTAACAATAGATTTTAGAAAATGAACAATCAAGTTATAAATCATAAGGTTATAAACAAAAAATATAATCAAAAAATACAAAGCAGGATAAAGTTTCCTTCAATAGTTAAGTTCACGGAGAACCGGAAAAAGAATTTTTATCAAAACTTTCTTTTAAGAAAGGATATATATATAAGATATGCATGATAAAAAAAGTTTGTGCATTTGTACAAGGTAAGTTACAATTGGTGCCTAAGGATCAACAGTTTTGATAAACAAACTCCGATGATACAACATTTTTATTTATTGTCAATACTCAATATCCTTTGCTTTGCTTTTATCACTTTAATATAAACTATTTTAAAATAAACTTGAAAATATCCTGAATATTTAAATTTGTTCATGCACAGCATGTGAAAGTTTTAATCAGCAGAATTGTTAGATGAAACTTAATCACGAAATGGAAATATTAAACGGGTAAATTCCGATACAGAAAGAATTTTATTTATATTATATATTATTTATAAAATTTACAGTCGCCCTCAGCTTTCCGTTCACGAACCACCAATCATAGTTTTGCCCAAATCTATCTGAGCGTAGAGTTTATGAGTCATAAAAATGAAGAACGAAAAACGCTAAAAATTTTTATTAAAGTTTGTTTAGAAGTGAAAAGTTGTTGATTTATTATTAAAATTTTCTAGAGACACATTTTGATCGATTAAGTATTGTATTGTATGCAAAAAATAAAAAAAATTATGTATAAAATATCAAAAATTCCAAAAAAAAATAAAAAAAAATCATTAAAAAAAAGGAAAATATAAAATTCTAATCTATCATTCACCGAAAGTTTTTCATTTGTTCATATTTATTGTTAATATCATTAATAATATAGGAAAGTTCATCTCGAAGTTTAGTAATTTCTTCAATTTTTTTGTCAAAAATATCAATAGCCGCTTCTTTTGAGTAAAGTAACAAATTAACTTTTGATACTTCAAATGTATTATTAGTTTCTTCAATAGTTTTCATAACCGTGGATCGAGTTTGAGAAAGTTGAATTAATTTCTCACTATAAAGTTTATTAATCGCCTCAGTTGAATAAGGTGCTGGTTCATCGTCCATTTCAGTTCGAATAGTGGATGCATCGCTAAGGAAATAAATAATTTATAAATAATATATTACAATTAATAATATCTGAAGATCATCATACCTATTATTATCATCAACTTCGATTTCTTGATTTTCTTCACTTTTTTCTTTAGTTTTAATATAAATATTTTCTACCAATTCCTGAATTCTTTTATTACTCCATATAACGGTACCAGTATTTGATTTTTCGCCAGTTTTATGATATACTTCCATACTTTTAATTAATACATGAATTTTATTATAAACTGATCTTGCATCCCGTTTATTATTAGTTGCTTCGATTGCTTTCGTGGAAGCGTTGACTCGATTTGTTCTCCACATTTCAAAATTATTATCAAGAAAATCTAAAATTCCAATAAGTTCATTAGAACTCCAACGCACTTGTTCTCGAAATATTTCTTTTGATTTTCTAATTGGTGGCATATTTTATTATTATTATTATTATTATTATTATTATAAATTTTGAGTTTTTTTTTTTAAGTTCTTTAATAAACGCAAAATGTTATTTATCTCGGGGGGATAGCAAAACAGGAATTACATCATACGACAATTAAGTTATGATCTGCCTCAATCAAGTTGTACAAAAAAGAAAATAAAGTTTACAAGGGAAATAAAGTTTGGATTTTTTTTTTATAATAACTACAAAAATAGAATAGTTTTCGGTGAAAAAATTCCCATGGTAAATTTTTATTTTGTTTCATATGTTTGATGAAATTCTATGAAAACAAAGAGATTTGGTTAGCATAATTGTTATTAGAGAATATAATAATTTTATTATATGATCTGCAAAATTTATTTTTCGTAAAAAAAAACAAGTAACAAAGAAGTTTCGTTTAGTCATTAAATGAATTTTATTTTATTCTATTAGGCTGAAAAAAAAAAATTAAAATAAATAAACAAAGAATCATGGAAGACAAATTCTTTACCATATTCATATGACTTCATCTAAACTTATTCTGCTATTTTGAAATCTTTTTTTTTAAAGCATTTATTTAATAACATTTTGCATAAAAAATTTGTGTCGTTATTTCTCTTGTTTCGTTTAATCGTTAAATGGAAATTATTTCATTTTGTTAGGCTGAAAAAAATAAACAAAGAGTTATGGAAGTCTCTCACACTTATTCACATGGCTTGATCTGAATTAAATCAGCTGTTCTGCTATTTTGAAATCTTTTTTATTGTAATAGAGAACCAATTATTTTGTTATAAAAAAAATTCGTGTCGTTATCGAATCAACGTCTAATCGTTAAATGGAAATTATTTCATTTTTGTTAGGGCTGAAAAATAAACAAAGAGTTATGGAAGTCTCTCACTATTATTAATCATTTATTGATGATAGAGAACCAATCATTTTGCCGTATCGTTATAAATCGACTTGTTTTGTCTAATCGTTAAATGGAAATTATTTCATTTGTTAGGGCTGAAAAAATAAACAAAGAGTTATGGAATTCTCTCACTCTCATTCACATGGCTTAATCTGAATTAAATCAGCTGTTCTGCTATTTTGAAATCTTTTTTAAGCATGAGAAACCAATTATTTTGTTGTAAGAAATTTGTGTCGTTATCGATCAACGTCTAATCGTTAAATGGAAATTATTTCATTTTGTTAGGGCTGAAAAAATAAACAAAAAATTATGAAAGACAAATTCTTTAAAACTTTGCTCTTCACATGGCTTCATCTGAATTAAATCAGCTATTCTGCTATTTTGAAATCTTTTTTAAGCATTTATTAAATAATTTTGTGATGGGGAACATTCATCTTGCATCAAAGCTTATGTCAACTTGTATTATTTAACAAAAGATTTTAACCACCATAAATATCTAAAGACGCGATATATGAAGATCTTTATAAATTTTATTCAATAGATAACGAGTTGCACAATAATTTTATAACTTTAATCTTAACATCAATAATAATATAAAAAATAAAGCAGTTGCGATGTAGTACAGCACATTCATTATTTATTTATGCTTGGCAATTAGAAATTTCTATTTACAAGAAATTCTTTCTCAATTACCTTACATTTCACATGCCAATCTAATATTGTTACATCGATATATTGTTACATCAAAGATGTGCAATTTTGTGTATCAAATATAACTAATTTATCAATGTTCTTTTTTAAGGGGATTAAAACTAAAACTCGAAGGCGAATAAGAAAATACGCAAATCGCACACATATCAGTGTTCTTTTAAGGGGATTAAAACTTGAAGGCGTACAAGAAGATATGCAAATCGCACATAGGCTACACCGCTACAACGTTTTATTAAAGTTCTATAGAGTAAAGGTAATTAAATTTCGAATTTCAAAAAAAAAATAATATATTACATATGAAATACGTATTAAGTAAAATTAAGTAATAATAGATTCATAAACACTTCTTCATGTTGAAACTAAACGAAAGAAATAAAAATATTAATAAGAATTCAAATTTTGAAAATTTAAATTTACGAAAAAAAAAAACGAATTAATTACCAATCGATCATTGAAAGTTTTTTAATTCTTCATATTTAGCATTAGCAATATTGATCATTTCGATAAGTTCGGATCGAAGTTGACCGATTTTGCTCAATTTCTCGTCGCATATACTTTTAGCTCTCTCAGCCGAATAAAAAATTTTAACATTTGACTTTTCAAATGTATCATTGGCTTCCTCAATCTTTTTGATAACCAAGGCTTGATTTTCATAAACTTGATTAATTTTCTCATCACAAAGTTTGTTCACTGCCTCAATTGATAAAGGCGCAATTGATTGCGACATGATATCAATATTTGTTTGATCATCGCTAAAAATGAAAATATAATATAATAATTATTAAATGTTATATAATTGATATAATTGATAATTTAAAGCTAACATACCTTATGCTCATCTCAATGTCATCGTCAACTGTAATTTCTTTACCTTTTTCACTTTCCTGTTTCATTTTTGATTTGTTGTACATCTTTTCTACTAAATCGTAGATATTTTTATCTTCCCACATGACATTATAAGACGATGGCTTCCTACCTGATTGATGAAATTCTTCCATTGCCCTAATCAAATTGTAAATTTTAGCATAAGTAGCTTTTTCGTCTCGATTGATATTGGTTTCCCTAATCGCCATATTGCAAGCATTACGATGATTCGCACACCACAGCTCAAAATTATTATTTAGATAAGTCAGAACGCCGATAAGTTCTAAAGGTTTCCATCGTATTGGTTGAACTGGTTTTGACATTTTTTTTTTTTAAAAAAAAAAATTAAAAAATTAAAATAAAATTATAATATAGATTTTTTTTTGTTAAAGTTTTTTTTTTTAAAAAAAAAAAAAAAATACAATTTATTATTTATACTATGCAAATAATAGGAATAGAACTCCATTTTATATTATTTACACAAATAACGTGACTTTTTTTATATTAGGGACGGTAAAATAAAAATCAAATTTTTCCGTTTACTCAATTAATTATTTAATATGGAATATGGTTTCCTTTCATAGTTAAGCTATCGGAGAGAATTTTCCCCTATCCATGATATACAGAATTAGTACAATGAATTTTGCTTACCTCTATTTTCAAATGGTGTAGCTTTAAAGAAAAAAAGAAAACCGGATTTGCCGGACAATTTACAAGACAATGGAAAGAAGTTCAATACATCAATCAGTTGGACGTCAGTTGGACAAAATGTTGTATTCAAAAATTAATAAGATTCTTTATAATTACGTTAGCGAAGATAATGTTTAAATGGCGTTTTTTTTTTGGCATTTTTTTTTCAGGTAGTTTAAAGTTTAAATATTTAAAATTCAAAAAAAAAAATTTTTTTTCGTAAAGCACCAATAAATGTTATTTATTGGTTTATACAAATATAAGGAGTAAAGTTGGAAGTGATTTGCTAAATTTTTTGATTAGATTTGGAATAAATGAAATTTAATGCATGCATATCTTTAGCTGCGGAAATATAGACATGATTTAAAATCCGTAAAATCCGGTTAACCTCGTGGGAATAACTAAAAATGTATTAATCTGTCATGAACAAAGAATTTAATTAATAGTATTATTATATGATCATCGATATATTGCTTGTAGTACAGTAAAAAACAAAGAATTTTATTAATAGTAGTATTATTATATGGTCATGATCATATTGCTTGTAGTACAGTAAAAAAACAAATTTTACACACATCACATAATTATCACATATCACATAATATAATCTTCATAAATTATTTTATAGTACGTGACATTTAATAAATTACCAAATTCAATTCTAACATAAAAAATGTCATTGGTTCTCGGGGCATACTTTATTTTTTTTTTTTGTTGGGGGCATTTTTTTTTCAGATAAAAAGATAATAATCCGGTTTTTAAGATTTTTTCTTTGTTTTTATTAACAAAAAAAGAAAGTTGCATGGGAAAAAAAATTCTCATAATTTATTGCGATGAATAAATGTTCGGGTTTATCGGAGTTTGGAAAAATAAAATAGAAAAAAAAACAATCATAAATTGCTAACCTCTTTATACTCAATTTCTACCTTTTTTAAATAAAGGATTCTGCAACGAAAAAAATTATAGGTCATATGAGTTAATCTCGGCATCTTCCGCAAAAGTGCATCAAACAATGATTAAAGTAAGAATTATTATGCAGCCAAATAGGTTTTTAACATACTTATTTTTTTTAGATAAATTATTATTGCATAATCATATCTTTAATATTTTTGACGCATTTACGTAATTACGTCATTTAGATTTTTACAATTTTTATATGGAACATGATCTTGGACGTCTGCATAAATAACTATTATATATTAATTAATATATAAAAGCGAGCTATTACATGCTATCCATATACGTGCTATCCGGCAGATCATGTCGTGCCACGCTGGAGAAGAATCACCACTAAAATCTCGTTATAAAACAAAGAAATTAAATCCGACTGGCATTTTTGGAGACAAGATCAGAAAACTTTGATACTTTTGTCCCCTTTTTGTTTTCCTTTATAATTTACAAATAGAAGGTAGTGTAGAATTTTATTTATTTATTTATACAAATAATAGGACTTTTTTCTTCATTATTATTTTTTTATCTATATAATTTAAATTACTATTTACATATAATAGAGACGGCAAAATAAAATCAATCTTTTCCGCTTACTCATAGTTAAAAATGGAATATGATTTCTTTACATAGTTAAGCTTTATCGCGTATTACAAAAGAGAATTCTACAGAAACATTAATACAAAGAATTTTGTCAAAATTAAATAAAGAGTACTTTAACGCCATTTTCAAAATGGTGTAGTCTGGTTTGTTGAATCAACGAATCATGTAGATGACGTTATTCGTATCACTAAAACACTAAAACGTGTCAGAATGTTATGTCATATACATTGACGTGGAAATTTTTTTAATATAATGTTTAAATGACGTCCTTAAAGACGCGTTCGACTAGGGAACTTTTTTAAAATAAACGTCAGATAAAAAAAAGGTCATTTTTAAAGAAAATTTATTTCGGTTAAATTATATTTGAATTTATTTGCAATTTAGCGATCATTTAATCGGTACTTATATAAAAATAAAATAAAAAAATAAATTGAAATAAATAATCTACATCACATCATAGGAGATTTTGAAGATTCTCCAGTGAATTTCTTCAATTCATCTAATATATTATTAGCTTTTTGAATTAACTCGATTAGTTCAGTTTGACGATGAGTAATTTGTTCATGCAAATCACGAACTTCCTTATTTTTCTTTTTAATTATATTTCTATTTATTTCTACCAATCGGTCATAATTTTGAATTTGTTCGTTGTAGATCTTGTCAACCATGTCAATGGTAAAAGGTATTTGAGGAACATCTATATTGATAGTCGTCATATTTATACTAAAATAGAATAATAAAATTTTAATAAATTTAAAAAAAAAATTAGAGATTTCAAAAGGATCAACATACTTATTCATTACAACGTCATCACCGTCACTCGTACAATTTGGAGTTTCCTTTTCACTTTCCTTTTTTTCTCCTCCTTTGGTTTTATCATACATTTCTTTTACCAAATCATAAATTTTACTATTATCATCATCCCACATGGCAGCGCAAGAATTCGACTTTCTACCCGTCTCAAAATATTCTTCTAAAGCCTTAATCATACTGTTAATTTTAGTATAAATTGCTTGTTCATTACGATTGATGTTTGTCTCTTTAATCGCATCACTGCAAGCTTTTTGATGATTTTCTCTCCATAAATCAAAATTATCATTAAGAAATGTTAGGACCCCAAGAAGTTCTAAAGGTTTCCAGCGTATTTGTATTTGAGTTGGTTGATCTCGATGTACCTCTTTTCTTTTTTTTGGTACTGACATCTTTTTTTTTTTTTTATACCAAATTCGATCCTTAGAATCCGTGATATACTTTTTTTTTGTTTTCCTTTTTGTTGTTGAGGCGTAATGAAAAGATATAAGAGGCAACAATCANGACCCCAAGAAGTTCTAAAGGTTTCCAGCGTATTTGTATTTGAGTTGGTTGATCTCGATGTACCTCTTTTCTTTTTTTTGGTACTGACATCTTTTATTTTTTCAAATTTATCGATAAATTCTTCTTCAAAACAAGGGGGTAATACTTGTAATTTCTTTCGTATCTTACCAATATTATATTTTTTTTTTTTTTAAAAAAAAAAAAATTGATATAAGGAGTAAATAATATCAAAATTTGAATTATTTGAATGTTTTGAATTTTTATTTTTCTTTTTAAAAATGTTTTTTTTTTGTTTTCGTAAAGCACGAATAATTTTTTCTTTTATAAATAAATTTAAAGATGGCGCAGAGACTACTTGACATTAAGGATCAAGATTTAGAAAAAATGAAATATAAGGTTGCTTACCTTTTATAGTTAGCTTTGCTGCAAGATAAAAAAAAGTTGTGCCAAAGGTCATGGAACTCCGTACCTCAAAATCTATTGATTATAAAGAAATTTGGTTAATCTCGGCGATATCTAAAAATGTATAATCTATTATGTTCTGTACCAAAGTATCAAATAAAAGCTAAAAGTAAAGAATACAAATAAATTTTTATTAATAATAATAGTGTGATATAATCGTCGACATGCAGTTAAAAAAACACAAGTTTTTAAAATTACACATAACGTGTTATCTATCTGTAGATCATTTCTCATCTCATTATAATTTCATTAAAAATGAATTACTTTATATGCGTATTTAACTAATTCATTGTAATACCAAATTCGATCCTTAGAATCCGTGATATACTTTTTTTTTGTTTTCCTTTTTGTTGTTGAGGCGTAATGAAAAGATATAAGAGGCAACAATCAGATTTCTTTGTCTATTAACAAAACAAAAAAAAAAAAAAGGTCCTTGCTAATCCAAATTCATGAATTTGTACTTATTTATTATTTTTTATATATTTTCTTTGCGATACACAAATATGCATTAGAGTGCCAAGAATAATTTTTTTACAATGAGAAAAGGTTAAAACAACGTTATACTAATGATTAAAAAAAGTTTAAAGTTATATATATGATCAGGTTATCGGAGTTTGTAAAAAAAAAGTAAAAAAATGCTTTAATATACTTACTTCTTATAGTCACTAATTACCTTTTTTAAATACGGGGTAAAATTTTGTACCGATATTTCAATAAAAAATATGAGTCATTTGTGCTTCTAAATCAATGATTAAAGAAATTGGTTAATCTCGGCATCTCAGCAAAGGAAAAAATACAAATAAAATTTTTAATAATATAATCGTCAATATACTGTGTATTAAAAATAGTTTCAACGTGTCTCATTTTATAATTAACGCGTTACCTCAATTAATACTAATGAAAACCTTTTATAATCTAAAAAAATATACAGCTGATTTAAAATACGTAAACAAATCCCAAAATCACCAAATGTTACAAAACACAATAAGTTTTGAGTTCAAAATCCGATTCTATTGTTTTCATTTTCTTTTCCTTCTCTTTTTCGTTAGGATCTTTTTTTTTTTTTTCAGAATGAAAAATATTGTCATATGGATCTCTAGAACATGCAGATAAAATGTTGTGAAACAGTAGAAATTCAGTGTGGAAAATCTAGTATTTTAATTATCCGGATTTCCGATAAGTTTTTTCCCATCTAGTAGTCATAACACAAAAGACATGTTATGTAAAGAGATTTTACATTATTTAATTTGATGTTATATAATACATTTAATAGAAAAGTATATATAAAATACATGTTATTTAAAAATATATTTTACAATTAGTGTTATAGATGATGACGATCAATTTTAAACAGTATCTGTAGAACTGATTACTTCATTAAAAAAATAAAAAAAAAAGGCAGATTATTGGATGAAAAAGAAAAAAGCACAGAAGATTTTCAAGGGGAGGGATGACTTCCAAAATGAAAACCCAAAAAGGATGCACCAGCCGTACCAGCCTTAGCGCAGAATAATTTAAATGATCATGCTGAAAAAAAAACTAAAAAAGGATGTATTACGTAAATTGATAATGTTTTTCCCTAAAACGTTAATCTGTCAACTTTTTTTTTAAATTTTAAATTTTAAATTACATTTGTATATATTTATTATATGAATCATGTATATATTTAATACTCCACTTCTTTGCGGTTTTCTTTTGCACGTGACGTTTAATAAAAATATAAAAATCGCTTCTGTTCTTGAAATATGTTAATATTTATGAAATGGATTAAAAACCTTTCTATTAATTTATGATAGTTTCGTTCTTTCACTTTTTCGTTTCTTTTATACCGATTTTTAAAATACAATGTATTCTCGTTCAACAATTTACCACGATAATATCGATAATGTCTCAGGGATATTGGCCGATTTATTCAACAAATATATGGACCCAACTATTTTGAATTGGTGTCGACATAAAAACATCGATACAACTAGCGTCTTAAATCCAAAAGATCCTAACTTTCGGAAATTTGTTGATGCAGTAACTAGTCGGGATATTGATCCAAAATTACTTACGCTAACCAATAACATCGAAATCTATCAACAAATTTTTCATAATAATTTTCCGTCGTTAACAACGTTTATGAAATTTGTTCTTGGGACAACTTACTTATTAAAAAATTCTAATATATCATATCTTAAAGATGTTTATCCGTTTATTGGAATAACATACTTTGTTTATAACAAAATAAATACTTCAAGATTACTAGACGACGATAAATCCCTTATTTTACGAGATATTCGTAATTTGTGGAGTATTTTTCTTTATAAAAAAGCTTTAAGTCATACAAATTTGTGAGTATAATAATTTTTCATTTTTATTTATTTATTTATTTTTAAAAATAAGAAATTCTTATTTTTATACATTTTATATTGTTTATTACTTCGTTTAAATAGAAATGGGGAGTGGGATGTATTTATCAAGGATGTCAATGTCCCAGTTACCACTGATTCACGACAAGTGTGAATATTTTTTTTTATTTATTGATATATGTATCGTACTATAACTAATTATAATTATCATTAATTTTAGAAATTTGACACCCGCGTTCAATTTTATTGAACCTGGCTCCACACGATCCCAAATTCCGTTATCTATTTATATACGAGATTCGCTGACCAAAGCGCTCAGCGACGCTTTGATTATTTAATTTTTTATTCCGGGGGGAAAAAAAATTTTCTTAAGATTTTTTTATTTTTTTTTTAAAAAAAAAAAAGTTTCTTTTTGGAAAACTCAATGAATAGATTGAATAGTTACAAAACAATTCTGCATACTGCAAAGCGATGTGGCTTAACTGATCTTCTTACAAAGTCGTAGTACAATAAGCTATTTACAAGCCTACTTTTAATAAGATTACTAAAATATTATTATAAATTATAATTATTTTTCTTTTTTTCCTTTTTCCTTTTTCTTTTTTTTTTTTTTTAAGTAAATTTCAAATAATTAAAAGGGAATTCTAAAATATTATTAGATTATGAACAAACATTTTTTTTTTTATTTAATCTTCAATATTTTCTTTTTCTTTTTTTTTTTTAAAGAAAATTTCAAATAATTAAAAAGGGAATTCATTGTTAGATTATGAACAAACATTTTTTTTCTTCAATATTTTCTTTTTCTTTTTTTTCTTTTTTTTTAAGAAAATTTCAAATAATCAAAAAGAGAATTCATGAACAAACATTTTTTTTTTATTTAATCTTCAATATGTTTCTTTTTCTTTTTCTTTTTCCTTTTCTTTTTCTTTCTTTCTTTCTTTTTTTTTTAAAGAAAATTAAAAGGGAATTCTTTAAAATAATTTACACAAAAAACTATCTTTTTAAACTTGGAAATTTCCTTATAAATTCAAATATTAATTGTACCATAAACAAATAAACAAACGTTCTGGGCCGATGCGTAATCGAGTAATCGCCACAGGAGAATTCCTCGATACTAACCAAATAAAACCTGTAAAATGTTAAATGTTTGTTACATAGATTTCTCCAAACATATGATTCAGGAGTTTGTTTTTCCTGATAGAAGACCACGGACTACGTTGAACAACAATAATTTAATACTATTATGAGTGTTTAAAATAAAAAAAAAAAATTTAGAAACAATTCTTAGGGTATCTTTAATTTTAATAATAGTGCTATCACAAATTATTAATTATTCGTCTCGTAAAATATTATTTTAAAGAATCATATACAGTACAATACATACAGGTATTTATAGCCTCAAAACGAAATAATATTTTCATCATGCAGCTAAAAGCCCTTGCCTGTATCACACAAAAAATTTTTTACGCATAATTGACACCTGATTTTGAAAATCCTGCAATTTTAGACATAAAGTTCACATGATTTATTTTATCTTGGCTTTTATTATTTATAAAACCAAATACTAATATGAAAAAATAAAATTTGTCTTCATTTTTTCAATAATATTTTTCAAATAGTTAAGATAGTTAAAATATAATATACTTTTCAAACCTTAGAAAATTTCTTCCAATCGGAACAATAGGTATTGATTGTCCTTTACCGTTTTTTTTAGTGTTGCACGAATTGGATATACAAAAATTTTGATAAAAAAATATGCAATCTGATGATCTAACAAACGCAAATCAACGCCTACCTATATATATATATATACATATTTCTGGGTCCTACCACAGTGCGGAAAATCTTACCACACCACCCTCGGTTACACAGTGACATTTAGCGTCACATTATCACGTGATATCCGCGTTCGCATTTTTTATATTTATCTGAGGGACTTAGTTTTTTTTTACTAGCCTGATCTCTATTTGTCACATACCTCGGACATCACACCCCAACAAATATTTGTGTAACCGAGGGTGGTGTGGTAAGACTACCCCACAGTGCTTTATGCATATCATTATTATTATTTCAATCGTAATATGGTATAATCTTTTGTAAATAATATTTGTTTTTTTATAACTTGATAATCAAATGTCAACAAAATTTTTTAGGTGGCGAAGAAATGTAAATAAAAAATGTATTGTCAAGTCGTAAATATTTTATTAAAGGATTTACCGCCATTCATACCCATGTCCCACGGTCTATAATTAGAATAGCTAAATATTGATTTTTTTTTTATTTCATTGCTGGTGGTTTGTTATTTTTTGTGTTACATTAAACTGTATTTTATTTGCGCACATTTTTTTCATTGTTGTTACCATCTTAAAATATGAACACAAACTTTCAATAACACGAAAATTCTAGCAGATGGCTCCTATTCAAGTTATCAAACACAAAATTCTTTGCCTACCAATAACCTTCCTAAGAAAATGATAGGCCTGTATACTCAATTTTTAAACAGATAATAGTATCATACACAATATTTGTATTGTAAACAAATTTCATAATTCAATTAAGTAATCTTAAGTTCAATCAATCAAAATAGTGTTGCTGGTATGTTATCGGGTAATGCAATTGCCGAAATTGATGACTAAAATCCGCTTGTCACGTGACTGCGGATCAATGTTTCGAAAAACATATCGAATATAGCTATTTAATATAATCGTATATTGAACATTAACCAATTAGGGCTAAAAATGTATAAATAGCAAGGTACTTGTAGAAAAGAATCGAGAGAAAGGTCCATTGAGAATCCATTGAATAATTTATCATACATTTTATTTTGTTTGTTAGTATTGTTAATCTACTATCCCTTATTTGTATCTGAGTGTATGCGCGCGATACATTATTTACATCTGATTGGACTGATTTTAGCATATACGTTGATCCATTTTAATTAGCCCTTCTGCATAAAACAATTAATATAATTTTATATATACAGCTTAATTTTAAGCTTACATAACTTCTTTGAAAAAAAATAAGACGCAGCATCCCTGCTGCGGGGACCATCTTATTAAAAAAAAACAATGACGAAAAATATTATCAATTTCACAAAAATGCTGATCATAAGAAATTGATAATTTTGTGGAACATTAAAATCAGATGATTTCCAGCTAAATCTTTCGTGACACAAACTGATAGATAAAGAGATACTTAAAATACACAAAACATGGTATCATAAAAATATAATTAGTATTAATGTTCGGAATATGAAATATGTTTATCTCCTTGTTTACCAGGAAAAAAAAAATAAAAAATTAAAAAAAGAATTATGAAAATTAGAAAATGAACCTTTATATTGTAACATCAGATACTCTACTAGGTTGGGTGTCAATCATCATAATTTCTGGAAGTTTACAAGTTAATCGTCACATAATATCGGTTACTCAACTTTTTAGTATTGCTTATTTTGTTTATCGCCATTTTCGAAATAGTGTAGCCTCGTAACGACAAAACCAGATTTTTTACGTGATTCTTATTGGTACTTATGTAGCTGAATCTAATATTAGACTATATCACGTGCCAAGTTTATAATTAGAGTGCAAATGTGTGATTTTATCTAATTTTAACTTTAACAAAATTCTCTGAAAATAATTTCTATAACTGATATTCATTCGATCACCACGCAGATGACGTTATTCGTGTCACCAAAAACGTCGATACTGTGGGAATTTTTTTAAATGAGACGCGATCGATTAAAGAAACTTTTAAAAATAAAAATCATCTTAAAAATTAAAAAATTTATTCAGTTAAATTCTGTTTAAATTCACGTAAACAAGTTAAACTTTAAAATCTTGCTTACATAAAATATAGGAAAACAAAAAAATAAATCTATATCATGTAAGATTTTCCAGTAATTTTCCCCAATTCATCTAATTTATTATTAGCTTTTTGAATTAATTTGATTAGTTCAGCTTGGCGGCGAGAAATTTGTTCGTACAATTCACGAACTTCTTTATTTCTCTTTTCAATCATATCTCTATTTATTACTATCAATCGGTCATAATTTTGAACTTGTTCATTGTAAACCTTGTCAATCGTTTCGATGGTAAAAGGTAATTGAGGAACATCAATTTGATTTGTAGTCGTCGTATTACTAAAATTAAAAAAATAAAATTTTAACATTGCTTTGATAATTAATCGCATTTTAAAAAGAATTAGAAATTTCAAAGTCATCATACTTATTTTTCATTGTGACGTCACCATCACCGTCACTCATATGATTTGAGGTTTCTTTTTTTCTTTTTTTTCTTTCACCTTCTTTGGTTTCTTTTGTTTCTTTGGTTTTATCATACATTTCTTTTACTAAATCGTAAATTTTACTATTTTCCCACATGATGGTGTAAGAAGTTGACTTATTATTTTTTTCAACATAGTCTTCCATAGCTTTAACCATATTATAAATTTTACTATAAAGTGCTTTACCATCACGATTGATATTAGTCTCCTTAATTGCCTTATTACTAGCATCAAGATGATTTACACTCCATAAATCAAAATTTTCATTTAGAAATGTTAGGACGCCAATAAGTTCTAAGGGTTTCCAGTGTGTTTGAGTATTTGATTGATCTCGATGTAATTCTTTTCTTTTTTTTGATAATGACATTTTTTTTTTAAGAAAAAGGGTATGGGTTATAAGAAGTAAATAATATCAAATTTGAATAATTAAAATTTTAAATTTTATTTTTTTTTAAAAAAAAAAACCAATTTGATATTTTTTTTTCGTAAAGTACAAATTAAATTTTTTTTTTATAGAAATATATGGGTGTAAATCTGTGAAGAAAAAGGGTCGAAAAATTTTATAATCAAAAATGGAAAAAATGAAATCTGATATGCTTACTTTTTATAGTTAAATCTAGTTTCTTTAAAAGGATGCAAAATGAATTTTTTATTATGATTTAATTTTATTAATAGTTAAGATTATCATCGACATAAAATTACATATCACATGAAGTGATGGTAGATCATGTTCGTTATTGTCACAATAAAGGGTTCTGACGAGATATATTTTTTTTTTTTTTTTTTTTTTTTTTTTTGTTGGGGCAATAATCCGGTTTTAAAAATTTTCTTTGTTTTATTAACAAAAAAAAGAATTTTGTATGGAAAAAAAAAATCATCTCACTAGCCAAATTCATTTATTATTTACTTTTATTATTATTATTATTATTATTATTATTATTATTATTATTATTATTATTTTGCAATGCACAAACATATACTACTATTTATACATATACCGGGCGCAAGGAAGAATTTTTACAATTAATGATATTATAAAAATACGTGTTATCGACAATATATTAGACTATTTCTTTTTATAAATAAATAAATAATATATATATATATATATACACATTATTATTATTATTTTTTAATTGTTAATTTTCTATTGTGAACATATGAAAAAAAGGGGTAAAGGATTGTTGTTCTAATGTCTAAAAAAGTAAAGTTGTATAGACCGGATTATCGGAGTTAAGATTAAAAAAAAATTATAATATGTTTATCGTTTATACCTTTATAAAATTTTGTGCCAACATATGATGTTTCTAAATCATTTAATTAAAAAAGGTATCTCCGTAATAATGTAATAAATTTATTGTTAATGCCGGATGCGTAATCGCAGACGTGTTATCCGTATTATCCTATAATATATTACGTTCGTGTACACTATAAAAAAATATATAATCAGCTATTAAAATACGCCAAATGAAATCTCATAATGAAAACTATCATTAACGAATTTGGATTCAGTAGCCGATGGGTGTTTTTGGAGAAAAGATCAGAAATCTTTTATATAGTGACACGGTTTTGTTCTTTTTTTAGTTTCCTTTTTTTTTCTTCTTTGTTGGAAATTCTTCTTTCAAAGAAAAAAAAAGGATATAAAGACAAAGTAATCCGGTAATTCCGATTTAAAATTCACTTTGTTTTATCGACAAATAAAGAAGGTTGAATGAAAAACTAGAATGCAAACAAGAATATGATTCACATGAGAAGGAATTATTAAAGTTATGTAATCGGACCTTTCGGACTTTGGAAAATAAAAAAAAATACAGCTTACTTACCTCTTAAGGGTAAATTTAATCTATTTAAAGAATTTAAAGAAAGATTTCCCGAGATAAATTTTTGTCGTTTAATAATTATCGTTTGAGTCATTTGGTGCTTCTAAATCATGAAATTTGCTGCTCCACAATAATAAGGGTTTATATCAAATAATTATAATCATATATTGATAGAGTCATTAATTTAATATGTCACATTTTTATAAACGTTTTAACTCATTTATCGCTGTTTTAGAGTTGTGTTACCATGCAATAATATTATCTAATCATCCCAGTAATCACAATGTACACAGAATTCCGAAACTGTTACGGCAAATTTCATGAAAACTTTTTAAGAATCGAAAATCGGTTTCCGAAATTTTCCTTTTCTTTTTTGTTTTTCTTTTTTTCGTTAGGGCTTTTTAAGATAAGCGATTTGATTTTAAAATTTTGCTTTGTTTTTTTTAACAAAAAAAAGAAAAAAAGAAAAAAAATTTTCATGATAAGCCGGCAGCCACCTTGCTAAAATTTCAGGAAATAATCATGCAGATAACACTTTGTACTCACTAGATCTGCAGTTCCTACGCCTAATAGTCGGCAATGGTTCCAATGGTACAATATAAATAGAGTAAATATAATTATGTAATACTGTATATAAAACGATATATTATAGAACACGTTACTGTATAGCGGTGACTGGATATAAATCAATTTACCATATTTAAAAAATTGAATTAAAATTGACCGGAATTGGCCTAAATTTGCCAGAATTAAAACTTTTTCGCATATTATAGTAATTATACCCAGATATATTAATAAGTGGTACGGATCTTTAGTCAGTGCTATACGGTATTCCGCTAGCGTTCACTTCAAATATTTCTAAAAAACACAATTATTTGTGTATTTAATAGAGGCATGACTAGAAATTTTTTTAGTATTAACGTGAAGTGAAATTTTTTATTATTGTTTTCATATATTAATAAAATTTTATTTAGTTTAATGTAACTTTAAAAAAAAAATATTTTTTACATATAAAACATACTGTACATATAAAATATACGAATATCAAAAATTTAAATCAAAAGATTTATCTAAGTACTCTCAACATTTGTAATTTATTATTGGCTTCCTCAATTAATTCGATGAGTTCTGTTCGACGTTTGGAGATTTGTTCGTATAAATCACGGACTTCTCTATTTCTAACTTCGATCAAGTTTTTGGATATTACCGCCGAACGATCAATTCTTTTAATTTGTTCGTTGTAAATCTCGTCAATTGTCTCAATCGAAAAAGGCATCCGAGGAACGTTAATTCGATTTTGGGATGTCCTAGTTATCGTTGGTTGATTATTACTAAAAATGAAAAAAAAATAAGTAAAATAATAAAATGATAATGTTGTTAATGCTTAATAATTAATATTATCTTAAAAACTGAAAGAAAATTCATCATACTTTGTAGCCATTTCAATGTCACCGTCATTATTACGATCTTGATTTTCTCTTCCATTTCTTTCTCTAGTTTTGTAACAAATTTCTTTTACCAACCCACGAATAGTTCTGTTTTCTCGAATAATGTAGCAAGTCTTTGGTTTTCTACGAGTTCTTAGAAAATGCTCCATAGCTTTGATCATAGAATGAACTTTATTATAGACTGATTTTCCATCTCGGTTAATATTAACGGCTTTTACGGCCTCCACACATGCATCTTGGTGGTTTTTATACCATAAGTTAAAGTTTTTATTGAGAAATGTAAGAATTTTAATTAGTTCTGATGTTTCCCAGCGTTTTATTCTGTCAGCTTGAGGCATCTTTTTTTTTATTTATTTGAAAAATTGATATATACAGTATGATTAAAAAATATATTATTTTAGGTGGGTAAAAAAAATGTTTTCTTGTCAAAAAAAAAAAGATCTAAAGTAGGGATATTTATCTAATTTGTGTGGTTCGCCACCTTACGGAATTTAGAATAGTTAAAAAATGTAACATGCGATGTAGGTGCCACTAAATTGTTAAAATTGGAATGTATGGTTTTCTAAATTATTGGGCGATCATTTGAGACAGTAAACAAGTGGTGTTTGCGTGGTGTCACGTGATAGCAACAGTATAATTTATCGAATAGAGTGTAGATTTTCGTTTATTGTCCGGAGCGAAGCGAAGGACTATATATATGTCTACGCATTATGAAAAATTATAGATCACGTGAGTTTCTCTTCTGTCCCTCACGTGACGTCATCCAATGAAATCGCAAATCTCATTTTTTTTTCGCTCCGGACTTACAGCGGTTTCCATTTCCGAGTTAATAAAAAAGTTTATAAGAAATATATAATAATAACAGATAAATGTAGAAAATTTCTTAAAATACACTAGTGACCTAGTGTGCGAAATACTTATCACGTGACTTTAATTTGTCACCCATGTCACAGTGTCACACCCTTTAGTTTCCATTTTTACTATTTATTCTAGGGGCTTGAATTTCTTCAGTAAGAAAAACCTTATTTATCACATATTATATGCCACGCCCAATAATTTCGGCCAAATTTTATAATTCCAGCCAAAATTTACTGAATTTCCATATTTGGAAATCTGGCAACGTTACACAACCAAAAAAGGCAATTTTACTTGAAAATTCGTTGCACAAATTTCCCCAAAAGGAAATCTTTTATGCAGATCACCGAGTATGATAAACACGTGATCCGTGTTTCGCACACTTGTGTACAAATAGAAATAGTCATAAATGTAATACACAGATAAAATCAATATTGCTGTCTCTTTGATATTAGCTGCTTCGTCCAGCGCGCCTATATATACTATATATACTAATTTTTCTATGCGTATAACAAAGTGTAAAGTTATATAAAGTGTAAGTTATACTAAATGCCATCTAATGCGGCATTACTAATAATGTGGAAATTTTTAGATTTCATGATGTTACACAAAACTTAAATTCGTGATATCTTTGTTAATTTAATAGCCCGATCATTTTGATTATGTCAGCTTTATGCCGAATTTTTGCTATACATTTATTCGAAGCTGATCTGCGTAACACAGAAATCGGCATATATCTTATATATTCCGGGGTGTAAGTTATACTTAAATTTTGTATAGTATATACAGTGCAATATAATTTATACCAAGGATAACTTATACGAATCAAAGAAATAGTATATAAAAAAGGGAAGTACGCGTGGAAAGGGAATCGGAGTTTTGTCTTAGTTTTCCGTAACACAAGACACATTGTAAATCGTTTATGTATTACAAATTCGATCTTTCGTCTAAATAATTTTGTCTTAGTTTTCGTAACACAAGATACGCTGTAAATCGTTTTATGTATTACAAAATCTATCTTTCTCAAAAAAAAAAAAACTCATAAAATCTAGATTATTTAAAAATGAATATAAAGATAATAAAGAAATAAATAATATATAATTTTTAGAATAATATATCATAAATTTTAATATAAGAAATATTATATAGTTATTGGGCAGGGCGTCTCATCTTTGTGTGCATTAAATCTGTGATATTTGTAATACTGTTACGCAGATCATTTGATGATATGGTGTGTGCGAAATTCGGCTGAATTTTGGCACCTCGGAATATAAAGTATTTTTTTTCTCCTCTTTTACTAAGAAAGGAAATAAAGAATTAGAAAATGAACCCTTATCAGTTATGCTGTAACATTGGTATGCCTATCAGATACTCCATCAGGTTAGGCAATAATTTCTGCCATATGAATAATATATTTGAAAATACAGTACATTTTCGACTATATACTATTCGTGTCGGTTTCACGAATGTCCCGTGCTCAATGTGAGTCGATGGCCATCCATTCGTATTGGTTCTTTCGGTTACACAACAAAAATTGTTTATTTGATGATTATGATATACCGTTTATTTTTAATAATCATAATCAGAAAACTATATTCAATTTTCTATTTATTCGAAAAATAAACAAACTGTAACGAAAATAAATGTAATATAATATAATTTTGTTTAACATCCTTTATTTTTTTTTTTTTTTGATATATATTCTTTTTATTCGAATTACCCGTGTTTAATTAAGTTTAATTAAGGTTAATAATTTCGTTATTCCCCAACGGTTACCGTTCCCTAGTTAATATAAATTATTGAAGATTTTATATAATTTACGCCACCGATTTAAAACCTATCGGTCCGATTTAATACAAATAACTCGAAATAATCTAGGCCAAAGTTTAAATTTTGGCCAAATTATGCTAATATCACGTGATTTATATCGATGCGTCATGGTTAAAAAAACATTTTTTACAACACAAAAAAAAAAAAGAATATTTTTATTAAAGTCTAAATTTTAAAGATTAAAAGAACGAAGAATTTTAAGTTAATTTTTAATTAAATAAATTTGTGAAATATCTATAGGAACACCAAACTTATTTTGTTAAATTTGTATGGACTAATCCATTATGAAAATTAAAATTTCAAAGACACTATGCTTCAGCCTATAATATAAGAACACTAAAACTTTCTGAACTCTTCACACATCTTATTAGTTTCACTAATCCTTTTTATAAGTTCAGACCGATATCGAGTAATTTGATTGATTCGTTCATTATATTCAGCTTCAGCATTTTCTATCGATTTTGCCGCCGAATTGACAACTTTTTGAATTTTTTCATCACAAAGATGAAAAATCTCCTCGATCAAACAGGGCCTGTCCATTAGTGCTTCAATTGTAATTTGGTCAGAACTAAATTGAAAGAAAAAAATATATATATATATATAAATTAATAATTATAAATCTCATAGTATTTTCGTTGTTTAAAAAGAAACAATACACAAATTCACCATACTTTAAAATGTGACCGTCGTTCTTATGGCCTCTTGTAACTCTTTGATTGCTTTCTTTCATTCTTTTATTAGTCCTCATGTAAATTTGTTTCATCAAATCGTAGATTTCTCTATTTTCCCAGATAATGGTGCATGTTGTTGACTTAGTACCTACCTTAAGATAATCTTCTGTGACCTTAAACAGGGTATGAACCATATTATAAATTGATCTAGCGTCCCAAATAACGCCGGTATTTTCTTTTGCTTTGACACAAAAGTTATAATTATCATTATACCATTCATCAAAATGATCATTAATGTAATATAAGATGCGAGCGAGATCTTTGGGTTTCCAACGTATTTCTTGTGGTGTCTTATTCATATTATTTATTAATGATAGCATTTTTTTTTTCAAAAAAAAAAATTAAGAAATTTTTTTTTTTTTTATTTTTTTCTTTTTTGTCAAGTGAAAGGAATTTAAGGAGTTTTCAATACTATTTATCTGATCGACATCTTTAAATTTGGAATCAATCAAATGCAAGAAAAATATGTTGTGTCATGATTAATTCATTGAGTGATTATACGAAAGTTGGCTGCAAACTCCGCCTTATGATACGAACTTAAATAAAAAAGGATAGTATATTTCTTAAAGTATAGAAGTATGGGTATGATAGAAAACAATCAACTCAGAATTTAATGATTGTCTTTTTACCGGTTTTAACCCACTTTAAATTGGATATCACATTATTTGTCACGATGTACAATTACGACTTTCGATTATAAAATTTTATAAAACATAAAATAAAGGCTTGAAAGGATGAAGAATTTAATTTTTATTTAATAAATACACACACTCATTTTGTTAAAATTATATAAACTAATAATACATTTATTCTTCTTTGGTCTATAAAAATAATATAAGTTTCTCGGTCAATCACTAATATTTTTTCAACTCTTCACATATTTTATTAATCTTATTTTTTGCTTCTATAATCGTATTTATTAGTTCGGCCCGAAGGTGAGAAATTTGATCGGTTTGTTTTTTACGACCAGCTTCAATCGCTTCTATCGATTTATCCGCAATAAGTTTAACTTTTTGAACTTTTTCGTTACAAAGATTATCAATTTCCTCAATTGAACAGAGTATTCCTGTTCGACCGGTGAGTATTTCAGTTGTTATTTGATCAGTGCTAAAATGAAAAAAAACAATTTGTAAATTTTTTTTAATAACGCATTTTTAAAAAATAAAAAGGATTTAAATCGTAATACTTTAAATTCATTTCAACGTCACCGTCATTCCTACGACCTCTTGCAGAATCTTGAGACATCTTACTTATTGGTGGCATTTATTTTCGAATATAAAAGTATGTATATATATAAATATATGTATATAAAATTATCGATTTTTTTTCTTTGTTAAAAATGTAAAATGGATTTTCAATTCTATTTATTCGATAACTTTGTGTTACGAAATAAATGAAAGTTATAAAACAGGAAGAAATCAAGTTCAAAAACCGGAAAAATTTAGGTTTACGCCTAACATGCAATATGCTGCAATCGTAGCGCCCTATAATATAAAATGAGCATTTTATGGCACTTTTATTCATTGAGTGAAATGAGTGATCATCAAATCTGTAACGTTATCAATGAACGAATTTTTCAGTATCCAGAGCGACTATATAGTTACCAAAATCCAAAATTCTAACCATTGTCGAAATTTCTCAAATAGCTGACTAAATTACTTTTGGTCAACTGTACTCCAGCCAGAATTAAATGTTCGATAAGAATATTTCCTATTTTTGCAAATTCACGTGACTCAGTTGACAGACTTTGCATGCATGTGATCAGAAATTCAGAATGGAAGTGTAGTTACGTATATGCTCCAATAATTTAGGATTTTGAACACATATCGGCCCGATATAATGCCGAATAGCATATTAAATTCGTCTAAATTAAGGGCCGTTTATGTTGGATGACAGTCGTAATTTTAAAATAAAGAATCTTTTTAAAGGTCTAAACTTTAATAGATTAAATAATGAAAGATACCACGCTTCGGCTTTTAAAATGATAATATATGGTAGTTTCTAACAGATAATTAAATTTTCTGAACTCTTCACACATCTTATTAGTTTCATTAATCTGTTTACTGGTTTCATTAATATTTTTTATAAGTTCAGAGTGATATTGAGTAATTTGATTGATTCGTTCTTTATAATCAGTTTTAACCTTCTCTATCAATTCTGTCGCCGAATTGTCAATTTTTTGAATTTTTTTATCACAAAGATTAAAAATCTACTCGATTGAGCAGGTCAGCAGGGCCTATTTGATCAGAACTAATTTGAAAGAAAAAAAAATAAATATATAAATTAATAATTATAAATCTCATAGTATTTTCGTTGTTAAAAAAAAAACAATACTTAAATTCACCATACCTCAAAATTTTTTCAATGTGACCGTTGCTCTTATAGCCTCTTGCAATTTCTTGATTATCTTCTTTCAGTCTTTTAAATTCGTTTTACCAATTCATAGATTTCTTCATTTTCTCCGGTATAGGGTGAATTCGTTATATAATACTTTAATCTATAGTTCGGTATATAGATTCTACCAATAAAATCAAGTCACATGATTAAAAAATTATTTAAAGTTTTGCACGTCATATTATATTGTGTTCAAAGATTATCCGCGTAAATGATTATCCTATACCAATTTAATTCACGTGATCATTCGGTATCAATACATTTGATCAATAAACACGTAGCATTTTACTATATAATTTTGTTATATCCAGTGTAATTAATTATAAGAAAATCGGTTCCGCACTATTTGGTTCGATAAAACGAGTTTTCGGTATATCCAGGTTCGTTATATCCAGTGGCGACTGTAATGTGAAGTAAAAAAAAAAAATTTTTTCTTTTTCTTTTTGTTAGAAATGGGAGGTGGAAGAAATAAAAGTAACTGACTTCAAAAAAAAAATTTTCTTTTTTTCTTTTGTCAGAAATGGGAGGTGGAATAAATAAATAAATAGAAATAAAGGAATTTTAATTTACCGATTACTTTTGAATTTGGAACCAATCAAAATTTAGATGCAAGATGAGGTAAGATGGCTATTACTAAATTGTCAAAATTGGAATCACAGTTTTGGTTGATCTTAAATAAAAAGAGATAGTGCAAATCACGGAAAAAGAACCAGCTCATAGATATTAAATAGGTTAAGAATTTTTTCCCACTTAATTACAGCATAAAATAAAAACTTCATTTTATTAAAGGTCTAAACTTTAGAGATTAAAAGAAAAGAAATAAAGAATTTAAATTAATTTTTATTTAAACTTAATTACTAACTCAAATAAATCTATATGAACTAAAATAAATTTCAAAATATTATGCTTTCAGTCTATAAAATAATAATATAAATTCCTGACAATCGCTAAATTTTTTTCAAATCTTCGTATATTTTATTAATCTTGATATTTGCATCATTAATTGTATTAGTAAGTTCGGTCCGAAGTTGACTAATTTTTTCTAATTTCTTTTTACGATCTGCTTCAATCATTTCTATCGTCTTTTCCGCAGCAGTTTTGGCTTCTTGAGCTTTTTCGTTGCAAATTTTATTAATCTCCTCAATTGAATATGTCTTGTCTGTTCGACCAGTGAATACTTCAGTTGTTACTTGATCAGTGCTAAAATTAAATCTTTTATTTTAACTCATTTATTTTTTTTAAAAAAAAGAATATGATTTAATATCAACATACTTTAAACCCATTTCAACGTCACCGTCACTTCCATGACCTTCTTGAGACATTTCACTTGAATTTCTTATTGGTAGCATTTAATTTTTCAAAAATATAGATAAAAAGTATAAATAATCAATTTTTTTTTTCCTGTTAAAAAATGTGAGATTGAATTTTTCTATACTATTTATTTAATTGTATGCTCTGACCACTTGTGTTACAAGTTATAAATCAGGAAGCAATCAAGTTCAAAAATGGAAAAGCTTTTAAGTTTACGCCTTAGGAAATGCAAAGCGTCGTGATTTCTGCATTTATTTGCGCCTTATAAATGACATTAAAACTTTTAAATCATTAAAAGGGCCCTATAAAATGAAATGTGTTAAATTTGTGTTCATGTATAAAAGACGTCCAAAAAAGCACCATTTTATACAATTTATGTCTTATTACAAAAAAATAAAAATTAAACAATATGGTGCTTTTTTAGATATTTTATTACACATGAGCACAAATATTAAACAAATTTAACTCATTTCGTTTTTATAAGGGGGACTTTTAATTAAAAAGAATTTTGGTTAAATTATGTAACTCCTTATGGCGCTTACTAAAAATAAATAATAAAAAAAGAAATTAATCATCCCCAATTAAGCAAAAAAGAAAAAGTGATGATCGACAAAGTATTCAGGATTATTTATTTATTATTTAATATTGCCCTATTAATTTTTGAATAGGTATTCGAACATTCGTCAAATTTTGTCTTGTAATCGTCCCTTGTCCGGTAATTTGGTCACCCCAATATAAAAACAGCGATAAATGTATATTATAACTTGTTAATTTCGTCTAATTATGCGTATAAATATTAATAAATAATTGTGTCAAAACAGCTTTTAAGTTACGTCATGTTTGAAAAAGATACATCGAGCACGTGATCGAAAATTATCCAGTCTGTATGCTTATGTAAAAATTTTAAATTTCAGAGAAATGCGGTTGGTGCAACAAAATCAAATGGAGTTATATATGTTTATTTATCGTCTAATGTTTTGATACAATTGATGACTCATACGTTATATTAAAGTGTACGACGGTGTATTTCTGTTTCCTAGCTTAATACCTTTGGTTGTCATACATAAAAGCTATTAAAAAAAATTAATTATTTCACAAAGTCATTGTGAAATATCATGATTTCACGGCTGCGCCGTGAAAATCAATGATATCCACAGTTTCCGTGAAATAATTATTACATATAACGTAAAATAAAGATATCGTTAAAACTCTAATTATTGAAAATGTTCGTTGAATTTTTATTCCCTTGCATCATGCACTTAATGGTGCCTCAACGCTCCCTCCCCATTAAACTACACTTTAAATGTCAGGTCTAAGATTTAAACTATTTTAGATAACATCACAAACTTAATTTTGATAATAAAATTTCAAGACATTATGCTTTTAAAAGTTTACAAAACTATAATGTAGCTTCCAGCCGATTATTAAAGTTTTTTCAATTCTTCAAATATTTTATTAATCTTATTATATTCGTCCTCAAACGTTTTTGTAAGTGTGGACCAAATTTTAGTAATATCGTCGACTTGTTTTTTACGACCATTTTCAATCATTTCTTTACCTTTATCTGCATAAAAGTTGACATTTTTAATTTTTTCGTTGTAAAGATTCTTAGCCTCCGCAATCGAAAAGGGTCGACTAGCGAATGGAAAAAAAAAATATTTATCAGTTATCTAATAATATTTTTTTTTTTAAAAAAAAAACAATAATACTTAAAGTCATCATACCTTAAAATATTTTCAATACCCCCGTCATTCTTACGATCTTTCATAGTTCCTTGTTTTTCTTCTTTCACAATTTTATTACAAAACACTCTTATCAAACTATTAAGTCTTTTATTATCCCAGATAATACTGTCGCAAGTGTTTGGCTTATTACCTGTTTCATTATATTCATTCATAGCTTCAATACAAGTTTTAACTATATTATAAGTTATTTTAGCATCCCAAGTAACATCGGCACGCTTTTTTGCTTCATCACATGCATTATAATTATTTTCATTCCACATATTAATGTTATTATTAAGAAACATAAAGACTCTGATAAGCCCTATGGACTTCACATATGATTCTTGAGATATCTCCCTTGTCCTTTTTGTTGGTGGCATTTATCTTTTTCAAAAATATCCGATTATATAATTTTTCTTTTTTTCTCTCTTCTTTTGTTAAAAAAAAAAAAAATTAAAAAAAAATGAAAAAAAAATGAAATGGGACGACTATTTATTTTATTACATTACAAAATTATTAAACAGGAAGGAATCAAATTCAGAAAGTGGAATAGTTTACGTGTGATTGCTGCAATTGCTGCGCCTTATAAGAACTTTATGGATTTAAAGAATTTGGATACCCCGAATAAATGTGTAACGTTAGCATGTCCCCGTCAAAATTACGGCAAAATAATTTGATCGCCGATCATTTTTCGTTTCGCTGAAATGATTAAGGTTCATATCATCAATGTTTGCATTTTTTATTGATGTGTCATAATTTTATCACTAAAATTAATGATAAATTTAATATTTTTATTCATGCTAAGTATATTGATCCTGGTGCGAAGCAACGGGCTGTTGCTAGCCATAATTAAAAAAGAATTGGTTAAATCACGTAGTCTTGTGACACTACTTGTTGAAACAGATCCGGAGCTTTAATAGTTTTATTAATTTATTTTTTTATTTTTAAAAAGATGGACGTGATGATTACACGTGATCAAGGTACCACGCGAATGAAATTTTTCATTGTATTAGAAAAGGTTTTCGGTTGAGTGGTACAGGATCGAATCGGTGATTAATAATATCGGTTCGGAGCCAAGAATCGATTTTCATGCATCTTTGAATGCAAGTATGCAACTAAAATAAATATATATTTTTTTTTTGACGTATTTTTTAAATAATCTCACAATTAAAAAATCTTTCTCTCCTCGCATTATTAAACAAATACATTCATCTTACATTAAAAAACCTGTTATAAATAGATAACTTTTGCGTAAAACAGAAACCCTTAACATCTTTTACAGTAAAATAATTATCGTATTACAGAAAAGAATGACCAAAAAAAGTTATATATCAAAAAAGGAAAAAACAAGGGTAGGAAAAAAAAGAAAATTGAGGTGACGTAGATTGATGAATTGCATGGGTTAATACCTTCACTTTATTATTGGCGTCTAAAAACGCAAACTTTTACATATGATATTTGCTACAACGTAAATTAGAGATGGTAAAGAATGAAATCTTTATTTTACGTTGTTCAAATAGTCTAACTTGGAAATTTTTTAATTAATTATTAATTTAAACGTAATTTTAATTCAATCATCGATTAGAGACATACTATAAACTTATTTTGTTAAATTTATGGTGTATTATCAGGGTCCCAGTCCATCCCAACACTTTCTAAATCTTCAAGTAATTTATTAACCTTACTATCTCGATCCTTCATCGTTTTTTCACATTCAGACAGAAGTTGAAGAATTTCCTCGAGTTTAATTTCAAGGCCAGATTCAACTATCTCTTTCGATATTGTCGCATAATGGTTAACATTTTGTATTTTTTCTTCACAAAATTCATTAACATTCTCAATCGAAAAGAACATATCCATTTGACCAGTAAACGCTCCGATTGTTACTTTATCATCGCTAAAATTAAAGACAAAAAAAATGTAAATATTATATTAGTAATAGCTTTTTTTGTTTTATGAAAAAAAAATCAATAATTTAAAGTCAACATACTCTAAATTCATCTTAGTATCATCACTCTTACGATCTTCTGTTATTTTTTGATTTTCTTTTTTATTTTTTTCTTTAGCGTTAGTTTTATTATAAAGTTCTGATACTAATCTACGAATTTCCTTATTCTCTTTGATGGATCTGCTAGTTGGCTCACTACTTTTAAATTCAGAAATCATCATATTTCTAATTAAATTAAAAAGTTTATTATAAACCGATTTTCCATTTCGACAAATGTTTGTAGCTTTTACGGCCTCATTACAAATTTTTCGACGATTTTTACAATACTCATCAAAATTATCATTAATAAACTCAAGTACTTTAATTAGTTCCGAAGATGGCCAAAAGATTGATTTATCAGCTCGAGGCATTTTTTTTTTTTTTTTTTTTTTTTTTTTTTTGTTGACGATACAAATAAAAAAATATGGTCATAAAATTTTTGTGGATGGATTATTTATTTTATAATTGATTTGTTTATTCAATAATATAAATGAATTGAAACATGTGTATAATGTATTGGAAACTCATAAATGAAAACAAAAAAGTATAGTGTAATTAGATTTAGAAATAATCAAATTTTATTTTATAAGATTTAAACAATACTTTCTTTCATAATGAAGTAAGTCGGAGATAGATTCCTATCAATGGGCTTTAAAAGGAATATTCATGCATATTATCACGTTTACTGCGTCTAATAAATCCGAAAATAGCGTTTAATGGCGATAGATCAATTGATGGAACGAAAATTTTTATGAAAATTATTTTTTACTTAAAATATAATAATAATAAATTGTTTATGCGCAAAAAAATAAACAACCATTTTATATTTAAATATATATATAAAAAAAAAATAAAATAAATTATAATTAGAAAAAGAAGAAAATTGCTAAATCTCACCGGTGGTAATTAACATACCAGCTAGATAAGCTATATTCAACTGTTCTAAGGACCGGTTCCATGACCGGTTTAGTAACCGGTTTTGAAGGGCCGGTCCCCAAGAACAGTTCTACTGATTTCAAATATAATTTTCAAATTTTTTCCAGGAAATTCCGCTCTGTGCGACAGAAAATTTTAAAATTTCATATAAAACCCCTCAATTTTTTTTTTTTTTTTTTTTTTTCCGAAGCATAATTGTTTGCTTCCGAGCCAAGTAGGACCGGCGTGTCACTGTGCAAGTGAGCGTTTATTTATGAAGGAATTGTGTCAAGACGACTATGTAAATGTTTTATAGTAAACTTTTAAGCCTATAGGTTAGTTTCGTGAAATGTTTTTCGTTTCCTTTCTATTTTTTTTTTTTTAAGCTTGCTTCTTTCTTTCTTTTATTGTACATAAAGAACCTTCCAAGTGCAGATATGGTCACGTCAACTTTTTTGTGTCAACGTCAATGGCGTCACATTGCCATGTGACTTCGTTAATGACTTGGTAGTTGGTAGGTAGATATTTCGTTTGTTTATTATTATTTTTTTTTTGTTGGCTTGGGAACGTTACTAACGTTCCCTTTTTAATGGCCTTTGAACTTCAACCTGGACTTGAAATTGCAAGATGGGTGGGTGATTTGTTTGTTTTTTTTTGTTATTTTTTTTGATTTGGAACGTTACTAACAATTCCTCTTTTTAGGAGCGGCCTTGAACCCAACCTGGACTTTGAAATTGCAAGGTAGGTGGGTAATTCGTTTGTTTCTTTTTTCGTTATTTTTAATTTGGGAACGTTACTAACGTTCCCTTTTTCTTTTTTACTTTTAACCTTAGGCTTGACATAAGCTTTTGACTAAACTCTTGATTTGAAGTACCTTAGACTCCAAACTTTTGACATGAAATACTTATAATTATAGGCTTTGTACACATGTGCTTGTATGTTTTCATAACGATAAGAAAGCAGAAATGTCTTACTCATTGAAACAAATGATAATAATATGGATATAATTTAGTTAATAATGTTTTAAATAGATCAGCCAAAGGAGAAAAATATACTGTTAATTAAAAGAGTAGTAAGCGCAATAAAGGAAAATGGAATTTATTTTAAAAATATTTATATTTTGATACGTCAAGCCGTCGTCAAACGACGCAACGCAATATGGCGGTACGTCACTAACAAATGTCTGCACCCCTAAATGACGGTAGATTTTGGTGAGTTACTTTTTCACTCGTGATTTCTTTTTTTTTTTAATCTTTATCTTTCTTATACAGTTGTATGAAGGTGAGTTTCAGGTGTTCTTTTGTTGTTGATTTATTTCCTTTTTTTTAACCATCCTTTTCTTTCTCTTTTTTTTTTTAGGCACAATAACTAACTGTTATGTGTAAATGTCGCGTCTAGGACATAGTTCCCATCCTTCAGTGCGGTGAATCTTACGATAGAAAATTTGCCATCATCGCCTGGATGCGTGGCTACACTGTTAGCAATAAATCCTACCATATTACCAGTATCCGGTTCGTTGGTTTGGTGTTATAATAGCGAATTGAAGGTATAATTTTTGGTGCCTCTTTTCTTTTGCTGTGAGTTTCCTCTTTTTAATCTCAAAAACAGCTATTGAATGAAGATGAAAAAATTTACAGAAAAAAGTTATTTTCTATATTATTTCTGTAAAATTTCCACTTCCACTCAAAAGATGACTTAAAAAAAACTAAGTATACTGTTAGACAAATTGATGGTGAGTTTTGGGTGAATTTTTTTTTTGTTTAAAGAATTAAACTGCCTTACGAGATTGTTTAAAGAAAAAAAATACAAATGCTCAGGCTAATTATTAAGTGAAACAGTAGGAACCTTCCCAAGAAAATACTTAGAAAGTTCACTCTATTCCTTTATCGATAGTCAGAATTATTACTAAGGGATACGTTCCAAATAAGATCATATTTATGTTCCGGATATGACAAAGTGTTACGATGCAATTAAAGAAGTTGTAAACTATTTGTAACACAAATTATTAAAATTATTCCCTTTTTTTTAATGATATTGTAATTTCTATATTAAGATTGTGAACATAATTTTTTACATCTACCCTAAGAAATTTTTTTTTTTCTTTAATAAAAAAAAAAGAAAAGAAAATTAAACTAATTTAACCAACGTATAAAGAAAATAATGATAATTAAAATGATTTAACAAACAAAAAGAATTACGCACTCTTGTGAGGATTTTTTTTTTTTTTTACAAAACAAATTTTACCTTATTCCTTTCCAAATAATAATAAAATAAATTAATGATACATTTTTTCTACAAAATACTATCCATCTTTGTAAAAACATTTAAAACGGTGAACACTACTTCAACCTGTAATTCTTTTCCTTCAGGAATATCAGCTTTAACTTTTTTAGAAAAAGGATGAGTAGAATATTCACTTAATAATTCATCAACTTTTGTATATGCTTTTTCTCTTAATTCATGATTTAACTGCAATAAGCATTTTCTAATACATTAGCGGCGTAAGCAACACATACCATTGATATAGTACGTAAACTACCAAAAGGTGAATAGCTCTATTAACAATTTCTTCCTTTGTCGAAGAATCACTAACAGGATGAGTTGCCATATCAAAAAGTAAAAAGTTTCTTTTTTCGGTTCTTAAAATCCCTTTATCTACTAATCCTTTTGCTAAACATTCCCGTACTTGTTTTAATTGATATCCAATCTTCATTACATTCCAAGTTTCTCCTACTAAAATAATAATTGATAGGAAAAATAATAATAATAATAATTAAATAAAAGGATTTAAATGAAAAAAAATTTTTAAATTCTCAACAAATAACAAATAATAAATAATTCCTCTCTTAAAAATCATTTCTCCTTTTTTTTGGTATACATTCAAACTCACCACTCATTAGATCAATCCAATTTCCAACGCTCATAGGTTCACTATTTTTCATCAATTTTAATGCTTCATCTAAAAATACTTCTCCTGTCAACTTATCCTCAAGGACCTCTATGATCCTATCTGAAAGTGGACATTTTCGACGATTTGAATCTTTAGTCATGGCTATTCGACCACGAAGCGCAAGTTCCATAAGAATACACCCTCTTAAAGTATAAAAAATATTGTCATTCCAGAATGAGAGGTAACCCTGATCAAGATTATTATTTATATAGAAAAGAGAAATATTACATAAAAAAATAATTTGTAAAGATATAAATAAAAAATTATAATCGAATCCCTAATTTCTAATCGTATTCTTTCTTCCCTTCCTCTCCCTCAAAAAATTGTCATTTTTTTTATTAATTATACCGATCATACCGATTCTACAAAATTCGTCTTTTGTTAAATAAATGAATGATAATATGATAAATCGTCCCATATATTTAATAAATTGTCTTTAAAATGTAACGATCTTTTAAAAAAAAATTTTAAAAAAACTAAAAGAACAAACTGCTACTATTCTCCATGTCAGTTGATAATTAATCCTTCTTTCGATAAATAATTATTCACCTAATTAATAATTACTATTCAACGACGATAGATTATCCAAATTATGAATTAAAATTTCACATTTTTTTTTATTGTCGGGAGAAAGAAAAAAAAAAATACCGAATAAAAAAATTATAAATGAAATAATAATATTTTACCTGTTTATCTTTTAAACCTAGCAAGAGAACTTCTTCCATAAGTGTTAAAATAGGTTGTTTTTTATCTTCATCATCAAGTATGTCATTAGGATCAACTGCAATCCTAACACCACTCTCTGAATAACTTCAATCTGGTGTTGTTGGTATATTATTTTCGTGTGATGAATTAAAAGCTCCAGCGTTTTTTCTTTGTAAACCACTTGTTGAAGCCATGTTGTAATATAAAATATTATTCTAATAGTTTAAATCGTCCCTCTACTATATAATAAAGATAACTAAATAAAAGAAATCTAATCCATTTTTCGTTTGCCCTGTAAAAAAATCTGATCCGTGTTTTATCTTTCCATGTTTTTTCCGTGAATGTATCATTTTCATGGAATTTATAGCCTTAAATCATGGAAATTTTCATCTCGCTAACACGGATATCCGTGAATGTATCATTTTCACGGAATTTTTACGGAAGACACGGAGAAATAATGGAAATATTCGGATAAAAATTTTTTATAGGGTTGACATAACCACCCCCCGTTTTTGGATTTTTTATGTAAAAAAAAATACATGTAATTTAGGCCGGAATTAGACAACTTGGCCGGAATTATCATCCAAAATTTTTGCTCACTCTTTTGGTCAAAATTTTGGCTAAAATTAATGGTAATTCTGGCCATGTATTGTATTTTATGTAATATTTTTTGTCCCCTCCCAGATTGGGATCCCTATGTTATGTTAAACAAAGAATTGGCTTGGAGCGGCCTAAATGATAAGCAGCCTCTAGCCCTCTACCTAAATTGAAAAAAAAATATATGATTTTTTTATAACAACATCTCAATCCCAAGATTTTTTTTGATCATTAATCTTTTACTGATTATAGATTAGCTAAAGACTATTATTTGATCTTAAAAAATTGCATCTAAGTACAAATAATAGTTTGTTTTTTTTAGCAAGTTTAAAAATATAAAATTATAAAAATATTTAATTGTGCTATGTCAGATTATAGAAAAAAAAGCATGAGATTTCATTCCAATTGTTCTTGGAGCTTATTTTCCAATTGTATGTTTTGAAGTTCTAAAGAGCGAACTTTGGCTTTTCATTCCCTCAATTCAAGTTTTCACATTTTGAGACCAAAGCTTGCTCTTCTTCTTTAATATTACTATTATTTTTGCATATACTAAGTTGCCTTAACACATCGGGCGTTCTCCACAAATTATTAGCTTCTTTCAGATCATCCTAAAAATTAGGAAAAAGAAATATGAGTAACATAAATAGTAATTAGTAAGTAATAAAAGCAGTAAGTGCCTGGCCAGAAATCCATGGAAAAAAACTTCTTCATCCAGGGCAAGTCAGTAACAGCCAGGAGAATACTTCCTTCACCTAGGATAAGTCAGAAAATTAAAGACATGACCAGAAGAAACCTTCTTCATCCAAAGCAAGTTGCAATGGCCAGGAAAAAATTCCTTCATTCAGGATAAGCCAGTCCAAGATGTGATTTCCTGCCAAATGTAAGTTTAATTGGAAAAGATACATGATTCCTCCTCTGAAATAAGTTACTTTTAACTTTCACTTTGAGGATGTTTGATCTTGTAAAACCTTATTAAGATATTTATAAAACACCTGATACATTAGACTTTTCTGACAGTGTTCTATATTATTTAAGACCTAGGAGTCAAAATCAGTTAGAGACCAATATTTGGATTTCTTTTTGAAATATCTTTTATATTGACTATCCATAATTTTCTTATGAAGAATGAAAAAATTTGAAAAAAAAAGTACGAAGGCAGGGTATATATGTTAAATTACAAATACTTTGTTTTACTGTTAATACTTATTAAATAAACTATATATTTATCAAACTATATAACTATATCAGAATAATAGCTATGTTTTACTATTCAGAGTCAATGATTGTAAGTACTTTAAACTTATCAAACTATATACTTATCAAACTATATAACTATATCAGAATAATAGTTGTATTTAGTGTTCTGAAAGGGTCAATAAGTCAGGTCAGGTTTTGAGGTGTATTCAAACTCAACCTGAGTGTAAAAGTAATGACTCAGATTCGACTTGACCTAATTATTATATTCTGACTCAGATAATCTGGATTCAACCCATCAAATTGTATTTAATATAAAAAAATTGAAATTTTTAGTTAAGACTTGGGTTGCCAGGTAAGGTTGCTTGCCAAAATTAGGTAATTTAGGCCAAGGCCGAAACTTTTTTGTAGCCAAAAGTTTAGGCAATCAAAAATAAATTTGCTGAAATTTATAATGCCGAAATTATTGCCAAAAGTCTGAAATTTGACCGAAATTATTGGTATAATTCTGGCCATTTTTAGGACGTAATTCTGGCCAGAAAAGTGATCGACATCAAAATTTCTTTTTTTGGAACTTTGTATAACCTCGTGAAACTTATTTCAAACAAAATTCCCTTTTTGGGATTTGTGTAATGTCATGTGACATAATGTCATAATTTCGGCCGAATTTTAATTTTGGCCAAAATTAAGGTCGAGTTTCGGTCTAATTTCAGCATTTGATTTGATTGGCCGAAACCTTTCAGAATTTCCTTTTTAGTTTTGGCAGGCAACCTTATTGCCAGGTCAAAGTAAAGGTATAACCTGACTCAACAGGTTCATATGGGTTATAGGTCATTAGGTCATCAAATCATGTGACCTATCCAACCTGATCCTTAAATACAAGTTGATCAATAACCCAGATTTGACCTAACTCTTTTAGAACACTAGTTGTATTCTACTGGTGGAGAAATTGTTGGTGAAAAAAACTAAGAAAACTCAGAAAACTCTGGTATGTTAATTATATGATCAAGGCCCTTCCGCAGTTGATCATAAAAGTCCCTGGATCATCACTAAAAATCCTGAAGTTATGTTCAGTTAGTATATATATGTGCTGGAAAGTCCAAAAGTAAAAATAATAGTAAATTAATTGATATAGAAGCTTTATCTTTACAAGAATTATTTTTAATGCAATGTGATAAAGATAAAGATAGACGGGTTTAAAGTTGCTTGCCGAAACCTTCTTAATAACTGCCAAAACCTATACGGAAAATGCTGAAACTATATTAAATCATATTAAAAATCCTGCCGAAACTTTGCCGAAATGCTGAAACCCCCATTTGCCGAAACTGCCAAAATCCTGCCGAAACTATAGTAAACATATAGTAAAATCTTGCCGAAATTTATTGCAGGATTTTGGAGAGGTTTTGGCAAGCAACCTTAGACGGATTGGATGGTTAACAAAACAAACAATTTAATAGAAAGATTTTTTCTGTAAGTATAATAATAAATGTTGTTAATTGATTTGGTATGTTAAATAGATTAATTATGATTTGCAGTCAGGAAGATTAAGTACATTTAACTATGACTGAAATCCAATCAAACTAGACATACTTAAAGTAGAGAATTCATTTATTGTGTAAAAGGTTATACTTTATTATAGAACTTTATAATTACAAGAATAAGAACTAATGCGAACTAATAAGAACTAAAGGAGCTAAACTTATAACAAAGGAAAATACCAACATTATTTATATAAAAGTTACTATATATAAAGATATAATAAATATAATAGATATAATAAATATAACTAATATAATAAATATAATTAATATAATAAATATAATTAATAGGGTTTAAAATTTGTGCGCACCTGCGCATGTGCGCACCCCATGGATATATTATATATAAAAGTCAAAAATGACATTCTAAACCCTTCACAGTTCATGGCTCATTAAGTAAAGTTGTAGAATAGGCAAAAATACGCATAATAAATAAATTATTAAGACTCTATAATATGTACGTAAGAGTTGCGGCATGAATATTTATAAAAATCAGGATTTTACTAAAGTCACGTGATAATTAATGATTGACAAATTTACTATATAAAAATTGCACATGCACGGGTGTGCACAAATTTTATTTCCTAATTAATATAATAAATATAATAAATAAATTAAATATAATAAATAAAATAATTATATCATTTATATTAAATATAATTAATATAATAAAAATAATAGGCTAAGTTGGCTGCGGCTAGGTCTGCTTGGCACAGTTGGGTACAGTAGATCTTAATTTTCCACATCATCTTTTGGCGTAGTAAGATATAACTTTACACGTGACTAGGGTAACAACGTAATAACTCATTATTTTTATAATTATATAATTTATTAAATTAATCATTTAATTCTTAGATATTAAAGTGGAAATTTTACATGAAAAAAAAAACAAAAGGATCTCTGATTTTATTACTATTAGATTTCACAATTAAACTAATCAGCAAGTTTTTTATTGCTTTTAAATAATCTATTTTTATATTAATTTTTATTTCTTTTTTGATAGAAATTTAATGCAATCAAATCTTGTGAATTTAAAGCACGAATTGCAGAAATAATATGATTGATATTATAGATTCTATGTATGGATATTGTATTGTTAAACATCAATCAAATTCATCCAAAATATATCTATATGATGGATCTTATTGTAATTGTCAAAACCAGTGTAAACATATTTGTGTAACAGGTGGAAGTAGAGGTTTGCAAATGGGACCTAGAACCTGAAAACCCTAACCTGGCCTAGATCTGGATGCTGGCAAATTTTCTTCAAAATTCACCTGGACCAGCACATGAATTTTCATTAAATCCAGATTTTCGTAATTCTGGCTAAAATTAAGTTGGCCAATTCTTTTGTTTTTACAACAAAATGATATAATAAAAGTTCAGGTTCAGTTCAGGTCAGGCTTTTGATATATTAAGTTGGACTGAACTGGGTTAGGCAATTTATGTTAATTTCCAATTGCAGGCTGCGCCAGGTTGTGAAATAGCAGTAGTCGAATGTAGACCTCTAGCTGGAAGTCTTGGGGACTTAAAATTAGTGCTATGATTCGTAATCCAGTCAATTCAGATTGATCCATTCATCTGAATTGAAATCAAATATTTGTATCTGATTATTTTTGACGGATTGATCCAATTTTTAATTCTGACCAGCACTATAGTTAGCTTGGGCCAGTACTAAAAGTTTAGGCAGGGCTAATTCTCATTATTAAAACTTCAATTCTGCCTAAAATTACAATTTTGGCCAGAATTAAGATTAGTTTGACGATCTGGATTGAATTCAGATGTGTTAATGAGCATCTGAATTCAATCCGGATGGTCTTTTAGAACTTGAATCGTACCTCTATTAAAAATATGGAATCTATTATTAGATTTAGAAAGAGTAGCATTTTATCACATACTGTATACATCTGATATTAAATAAACACCCCAAAAATAAGCACCTCTGGCCAGAATTATGAAAATTTGGCCTGCATTATGCCATTCCTGGCCAGCATTATGGTCAAAAAAAGGGTGCTTAATTTTGGATGTATATAGTAATACAAATTCAATTGCTGCCAATCAATATTTATGTGAAGAAAACCAGAATTCATTAAATTTAAATGCTAATCCTAATTAACCTTTATGTGAAGAATTGGAAGATTTAAAAATTATTATATAAAGAATACAACCTTTGCCAAATACAGCCAATGGAATAGAAATAAAAAAGCAAGCAGAATTTCAAATGAAAGAAGTAAGGAAATTTTATTTTCTTTTTTTTTGTAATTATTTATATATTATTAAAAAATTTTTGTTATGGTTTCTAGATTGTAATAAACAAAAAATTACATCACACCCATTTACAAAATCTTATATAACAAATAAAAACCAAAAATTCTTCCTGGATACCAAATAATGTTCATAGAAAAAAGACTTAGTTATACATAAGATACTATAAAATAAGTTATACAAATAATAGAATCGACTCATAAATTAAACAGGTGATATACTATGATACATATAAATCAGTGGCTCAGCTGTGTGGCTTCCTGTAGGTATTAAGTTTAAAGATGGTCATCAGTCCTAAAGACCATCGGTCTTTCCGATTCTACATGCAAAAAGACCAGACCATGTAGGACCACAGTCTTTTGCGGTCCTCGTGATCATCTGATGGATCAACAAGACTGATGGTCTTTTTAGGATCGCAGTTTTCAAAAGACTGAGGAATATTATTAATACTTATTTATTTTTTAATCACTTTTTATAGGTAGTAGGAATGGGATTATAAAGAAATCTAAAATAAAGAAATTAAAAATATAAAAAAAAATAGTCAGTAGGTACTACCTTCTTAGTATATAGTATAAGTATATTATTTTTTTTGTTTAATACAAAAAACATTTACTAGAGTAATAATAAAAAAAAATTTATAAGACGGACTGATGGTCTTTTGGTCGGTCTTAGGTCAGTCACTCGGTCCCCAAAATGATCCTACTACGCCACAAATAATCAGGACTGTTGGTCCAGTCCTATGAAGACTGGAACCAGTTGAGACTGGACCACGTAGAACTGAGTAGGACCGTTGACCATCTTTAATTAAGTTGAGAAAAAAATCTGGTTATTCATTATGATAAGCAGAGACATTATAAGCCTGTCTGTTAATGACCTTCAATACCGGCTGAGCTTTTTTATACAACGTTTGTAATATAAATGAGAATAATTTTTTCTCTGCATTATGTGCTTTTCTGGCTAGGATAACGTGTGGACATCAATGTGCACTAACATACAGATCAAAATTTTCCTTGGTATTCTGAAAGCTATCACTCACGGCTTCACAATTCTATGGATGTTATTTTGCTCAAGCAGTTCAGTTTAAGGGTATTACGTACCATGTGATTTTTTATATATATCATTTGGCAAATTGTTTTTGTTTACATCTAAGGTTGCTTGCCAAAACCTCTCCAAAATCCTGCGATAAATTTCGGCAAGATTTTACTATATGTTTACTATAGTTTCGGCAGGTTTCGGCAGTTTCGGCAAATGGGGGTTTCGGCATTTCGGCAAAGTTTCGGCAGGATTTTTAATATGATTTAATATAGTTTCGGCATTTTCCGTATAGGTTTCGGCAGTTATTAAGAAGGTTTCGGCAAGCAACCTTATTTACATCTTATATATATCACGTATTATAAATAACTAATCATGATACTAATACCCAATAAAATTTAAGTTTGCCTATTCGCAAAAACATATATTCATATTCACAACTTCATATGAAGATTTTAAAGACTTTTTTTAAAAAAATAAATCTTTTAAAGTTGGCAAATAAAGTTCAGGAGCGTTGCCTTCTAACCATATAAATCTTACCCTTTTATGTTAAATATTACAGAAATCTATATTGTACAGAAATTTGCATTACTATTTTTATTTTTTATTTTTAGAAAACAGAAAAGCGAAACGGTAGATTCAATTACGCGGACAACATAAAATGAGTCTATATGTAATTCTATCACTACACGTCAAGCCACCAAAAAAAAAAAAAAATAAAAACAAGAGATATAGGGTGGCCCAACATAGTTGGGACCACACTATATCTACACCTCTAACCCTCCCCTAAGGGGGTAATGCATTGGTCGTCTATGCTCCCAGTCTACACTACCTCAGGTTAGAGTCGACCGCAAAGTATTCACAGCTCTTCAAATTGGTTGACCACTAAGTGGTTGGTAGTCCCGCCCCTACCTATTATATCCCCTAAGGGCCTTTTTCGGGTACCAAGATGTTTTAACAAGAGCTATATGAACCTTATGGCAATCCGAATATCCTGAATTTACAGCTCAGATGAGACTCACAGGCTTGTGCAGAGTGGTAGCCACCTACCAGCTCCAGACGTTCGGTCGAGTCAGTGACCAGTCCTAGGACTCGCCATACCAGTCTACCAATGATCACATCAACCACCTCACCATCGGTTGGCATCATTTCAGCTCCCCCTAAGGGTACGGGATCTTCAACGCAATTGGTGGCTGCGCACGCAGTAATATTCATAGCAAGGATCGTTGGCTGGATGATCTGAACCTGCGTCCTATTGATTGGTCAGATCAATAGGGAGTGTAGACGCCTTAGGCCATTACACTAGGGACACCAATCCTTAGAAATTTGCATTACTATTGCTATATAAATTTGCCATGTCGATAAATATAAAATCTCACGTGATACGTAATACCCTTAAGTTCCAAATCCAGTAGTTTACAATAAACTAGCTTAACTATTTTTAAGAATGTGTTTGTAAGCATACTTTGCTCAAAGCTAGGTTAAATTTTAATTTGTAAATATTTCCATTATATATTATTTAATAATTAATAATATTTTTTTTTTTACAGTATTACTAGGTAACGGGATCTGTTGTAATGTCTGAAGCACTCGTTTAAAATCACGCTGAAAAATCTGATCATGTAATAATAATCAATAATACATCTTATTGGTTAATCACGCGTGCGGACAGACATACCTTGCATTACAATGTGTCTAACCATTAATGTCCTCCGCTACGCTTCGGACAATAACGAAGTTTGAGGTTTAAAAAAAATTCTGTTCAAATTGTCAAATTGCTCGATATGAGCATTACATCTCCAGACTATTTATGTTATATGTTTTTAAATGAATAAAAATTTTTAACGTTATATAGTTCTAATCATCATTTAAATTTCATTGGATAAATGATTAGAATTTAGAAATGCGATATTATAAAATGATAAAAACTATTTGTTAGCAGCCCTTTATCAAAGTCACGCGTAGGCGGTAAAAAAAAATAACAAAAGTGCAGAATGGGTTTAATAAAAGTTCATTATTTATTGTACATGCACTGTTAAAAAATCAGAAGCCCGACGTAGGTGAAACTTTATTGAAAAATTTGTAAATTATAAAAATTCGAAAATGAATTCGATAGGATTTAAATCTGAAAAATAGGAGTAAATAAAAAAATTCAACTTATTTACTAAAGATTACTTAACGTTAAAATAAGCAAAAAAGAAAAAAAAAGAAAAAAGATGATTAATACCTACAGATAAAGCTTTACATTGGAAGAGCCTGTAAGCAAGGTTTGAGCGATAATTAGCGGTATTTTATATCTCGCAGTTTTGATGGTTTGTATTTTGGAGTAAGAGTAAATTGTTGAAACTCTTGATTTTCTCTTTCTCTACTAGCTGCTTCGTATGCTGCTTGACTGGCGAGCTTCTTTGCCAATTACGTCACTAATTTTTCCTCCCTTTTTACCCCTTCTAGCCATTTCTTGAGTTGCCGGGTGAGCGCGCTTTGATGTTGAGACATGATAATATTTATGGCCATAACAAATGTAATGGCGGCGAAGTTTGTGTTGATTATTTTCTAACAGAGAATGACACACAAGCACAGTGTGCTAGCTCGTACATGACATGGGACAATCAAAATAGTAAAATTCCCTGTTCAAGTTCTTCTTCATTCGCAGCAATAGATATATCAGTCGGTGTGACAACATATGATGTTGATACAAAGTAGCCCAATTTGCTATATATTTGAATAATCAAGAAATTGTAACTACCTCGAATCTACACAATGTAAGCACAATACTCCATGATTATAATAGTGTAGAAGATGGAAAATTTGAATCATGTTTCGAATTTAGCGGTACTGCGAGAGTAACTGGTTATTTTGCTGCTTTTGGAGTATAGTATTTTTTTTTATAAAGATAATATACTTAGTCAATTTCTCTTGGTATACTGAGGCCTGTTCATATATACATGCTACCCATATTAATGGGATGGCAAACCAATCCCCATTCCTTATCCCATTTCATTTTTCTATTAATATAATTTAATTCCAAATGTATTGAAAAAAAAAATATTTTATTAGTAAAAATAACAAAAGAACAACTACTATAAAAAGAAAGCATGTAACCATTTCATCAACTAACCAAAAAATCACGATCATATGATATTTTGTGGCGTATGTAGCCGTAAACCCTACTAACGTTTTAAATTTTTAAAAATTTCCGGGACCACGAGGTCTTGGAAAAATATGTAGATTATTTCGTCAACCTGTTAACTTGTTAACGGATTTTTTCCAAGAAATTTTTATTATTATTACATGCGAAAATAAATACAAAGGTTCGGGACGCAGCCCAGGATACATATTATTTTTGATAAATTTTTTGATTCTAGCCCGGAGAACTATCTACACTAACACGATCCTTCAACAACCCAACAATAATGCCTATTACCTTTTCACGTTGCTTCGAAGTAATTCTAGGTTTTCTTTAACGGCAGTCTTCATGAGATTAATTTGGTATTTGCTTCCACTCGTAGAGTATATATCATCAGGAGTGTATAAGATAAAATGCCACTCTGCACGGGATCACCAAAAAATCCTGACACCCATAGTATCGACCGATAAGTGCAAATCCCGATGATTTAAATCAGATGAATTTGGGATCAGTTAATTTTTTAATGCAATAGTTTCTAATTTTATAAGATAAGGAATAGTTTGCTAGTAATCTAGTAATATACTGTACATAATCCTTTTAACTAAGATAAAAAATTTTCATTAATAATATAGTAACGTTAGTTAATTTGCATTAATATTAATAAAATTGCAACCAATTTACATTGGTATTAATAAAATTTACAACAAATTAACCCGTTACTGCGTCATTGCATTTTTAAAATTATATTTAAAAAAAAACTTTGGGATTTTGGTTGTCAAGATTTTGTGGTAAACCCATTAAGAAGATAATCCTTCGAAAAAAAAAAAAATATTTGTAAGATTGAAATATTGTCGCTACTTATGACGTACTGTATATTATAAATTTGGGATTAGATAATTTTCGTCCGATGATGATCTTTGTACCGAGTCATAAAAATGAGTAATGCTAAATATCACCGCTTGTGATTGTTACCTTACCAAAATTAGGGTAGAATTTTTGAGCAGAATTAAAAATGTCATGAAACTCTGCCCACTAATATCTGCTAATGCTGGTACGATGATGATCACTAGAGATGATATTTTAGAAATTTTCTTAGGATACTCCATTTTAAAAAAATGGCGATATGAAAAAACTTTTTAATCGTTTCTTAAGTAATTCACTTTGGAAGAAAAAAAAAGAAGAATACTAGTAATTATTAAAATATTTTATATCGTTGACGCACTTTTTTTGGTTAGTAGTACGCTTTATTATTTAAAATTTAAAATACCATTTATTTATAAAAATTATACTTCATACATATAATTCGTTTAATTTACAGAAAAAAAAAAATTTATAATATACGTATATTCGGATAAAACAACTAACTAAATTAATCTTCTATTCCAATGGAGCAAATCCCACAGCCGATTTATTGACATCATAAGCATTAAATACGTTCTTAAGGAACACATCACCGACCAACCATGTATTTTCCATACCAGGCATATTTTCGCCTTGGATGCCCGAAACACTTAGACCATTTCCTACATCATCAACGGTCATGTCTGCAGGATTAATATTATAGGTTACTCCTCCAAAAGTAAAAGCTACTACGGCTTTAGAATTGGTTGGAATTAAGTAATTTTGACCTTGTTTTTTCGCACCGGGAATTGCATTATGAATAGCATCAGCATCCTCAGGAGGAATGATAACAAGAGTTGTACCAGTGTCAATAATAGCTTCACCTCCTTTTACATCTACTGTTTTATCGTTTACTTGCGCACCACCTAAAGCAATCTGCCAGAATCCTCGTCTGTTAACAACCTTGTTATATTTAATGTTATTTGAAAATTTTGGATCAACTCCACCAATTGTAAGCTCACTGTTGCCGTTAGTGCCATCCTCTGCACGGCCAAGTACGAAGCCAAACACAGATGATGAGACACTATGGTTATTAATTAAATTTTGAAATGGGGTTGGGGCTTGTAGCTCGCTTAACTGATCAAAAGCCATACCAAGAATTCCGTCAAATGGAGCGTTCGTAAAATCATCAGAAACGGTGTCAGCGAGACCGAAAGCTTGATCTTTGATGGAAAAACCAGCAAATTCAAATGTATCAGTTGCAGCCACACCTGAAGTATGTCCTGTACCATAAGTAATTGAAAATGATTTATTGTCGGTTTTAAAAGTATCTGATTTTTCTGGATCAAATGTGCTATGTTTGGTTTTTGTTCCATTGTTGTAGGATACTTTGGGGACCCATAAGTCTGCGCTACCAGTATCAAAAAGAAGTTGAAACTTTTGACCACCAAGAATTGCTGGACCGTAATATCCGATATCATTATCATAATCGGTTACTGGTTCCGTAGCTACGTCTTTTAACGGTTCTTTTTCAACAAGTCTACCATACTTGCTTCTTGCAATGTTCTTGTGAATTATTAATTTTTCTTCCCATGAATATTTGGAAGATGGTTCATTTTTTTTCAATGGTATTCTGTAGTATTGAGCCATATTAACAGTTGAAAAGTGACGATTTGATTTTTTTTCCTATATGAAAAAAATTAATGAAGAGTCGACAAGTCATTGAATTGAAATTCTATTTATATTTAAATTTTTTAAACTTTTCGCTCATAAAACTTTGTACGAAGAATGATTTGATCAGTCGTTTTGTGACACTAATTCCTAATCTGACAAACAAAATGTTTATCAAAAATTTGTGATACATATTTTTAATCTAGAAACGCCAAGATGCCAAGACTTTTCTTTATGGATATTTTGTTTCGAATAAAAGAATTATTATTGACAATTAACAATTAAGATTAGTTTTAATCGGGTAAACATTTAAATAGGGTTAATTGATCCTTATTAAGTCCGTTCGATATTTATTAATTTTTAACTCTTTTTTTGGCTAAAAACTTCTTTATTAAGTAAATTTTTTATTCCTTCCATTTTCATTTCTTTCTTACATTTTTTTTTTTATTTTATTTTATTTGACAATTTTGATCAATTCTTTTTTCTTTAAAATTTTTTTTTTTATACTTAAAACATGATAAGTAAAAAAGTACGGATATGTATTATTTAGTAACCATACATAATGAGAATTTACCATACTTGGATAATTATTTATAAATTATTTGTTTTCGTATTTCTTTATTTTTTTTACGCGTATATAGAGAATAATACAATATGAATTTCTGTATCCGAAATCAATGAAATTTTTTTACGCCCCAAAACTTGTAAATCATTATATAAACCAACACTCATTGGACATTAAATGGTTATTGATTGTTGAACTTAAAAATATTGTCGTCGGATTCGTTAATTTTAATCATTAAAGTACCGGGATTGCAAAATAGAATTGGATTCTGACGGTACAATAAGTAACATTGGATCGGCAACATATTAAATGTCGTAATGACGTAAAATTTCTATGAATAATAATAACATAACACCGTATATTGTGGGCCACGGCCACAGCACCTTATGCGTAGTATCCTCAAAAGTTTCATTTTTTTTATTGATTTTATTATTTAAAGAATTTTAATTTACCCAGATATTATCCATAAAAAAATATTCGGGCTATAGACATGGTGATACAAGGATTTGAAAGGTGCTATGACCCGCGGTACGATATTAAATAGTACAGTACCCTATGAAACAAAAAATATACTTAAAATGCACATACTTTAAAATTATATTTAAAATTTTTAAATTATACTTAAAATTGCAATTTTAGATGTAATTTAATACATTACATTTTGTGTAAAAAATTAATACTTTAAAATAGCAATTTTTAATGTATTTCAAAATTTTTTTTCATAGGGTACTTTGTTAATGACTATTTATTTCATGATCATACGTTATATAACAAAGGAAAAAAAAATTGGAATTGTGAAAGCAAAATACAAAAAAGTAAAATAATATCTCTTTGTAATATTTTCCTTTTAAAGTTTAAAGCTATATTCAAATACCTGAATAAATTCAAATTTTAGTATGCCTTTTACAAAAATAGCAAAATTTAAAACAAATTATTAAAAAAAAAAAAAAAAAAAATTTTTTTATCAAAAAGAATTCATTTAATTATAATGATCTCATTTCGTTGATCTTTTTTTCGAATTCCTCAAATAAACCACACACTTCATCTCGATACTCTTGAATTTGTTTGATTATTTGACAAATTTGATGATAATTCATATCTTCGTTTTCAGCAGTAGTCGTTTCATAAACTTCTCTTGCTTCTTTTTCTGCTTCATAGATTCTATCACTCAAGATCTTTAATGGAAGGTGAAAAAGAGGCAATTGTTCTTTAATTTTCCTAAATTATTTTTTAAATATAATATAGGCTAAGGAAACTATCAAAATTTAAAGTTAAATGGATATTTACCTGTATAAGTCCTGTCTCTTATACACATCTAGATGTGTATAAGAGACAGCTTATACACTCTATCATCTTTCCAAATGATCGCTTCACCATTTTGTATATGATCATTCAACCATAACTTTATTGCGTAAATTAATACATCTAGATGTGTATAAGAGACAGGTATAATAATCTCCATCCATAGTTGAATCACTGAAATTATCTGTGAGGTCTTGCTCTTCGCTTTTATCGATCACACTATTAGTTTCAATAGTGCTTTCAATTTGATCACCTCGTTGTAATTCTTGCTCTTGATTTTTATTATTTTTGTTAGATTCCCGTGTCTCGCAAATTTTTTCCAATAGCTTATACACTCTATCATCTTTCCAAATGATCGCTTCACCATTTTGTATATGATCATTCAACCATAACTTTATTGCGTAAATTAATCTTGTCATTTTTGAATAAGTGCTCTTATGAGTTCTATCAATATTTTGATGTTTTATTGCTTTTCTGCATGCCTCTGACAAGGAATCAAATGGATGACTTTCGACATCATCATTGTTACAATAAAATTTTGTAGTTACGATATTTTACAACTTACTCGAACTGAAATATGTCATTACATTGGATTATTTATTAACCTTTATATATATTTTATAAATTTAATATCAGATATACTAAGTAAAAATGATAATAATATAATAATAATAATAATAATGAATAATAATAACGATAATAATAATATTAATTAATAAAAATTAACTAATTATGTAATTATGTTCAAATTATTTCTTCGTTAATTCAAGAAATAAAAATGATACTCGAAAGTAATAATCAACTCGTTATCGTCCATACCGTCCAATCAATTAGGAATAATAGTGATCGAACATTTTTATGAGACATTCAATATTGATTTTCTTATTGGTCACCGCAGTATTCCTAATGATCGACTGGAGTATCTATTACTCAAATGACTGGTCACATGTCATTTGGGTCATTTCAGCATTAAATGATTAATGACCTAATCATTTAAAAATTACATCATAATTCTGGCCAAAATTATCTATGTAATCTCATATAAATTTATATCACGTGATATGATATCATAAATTTTTGCTAAATGACTCAAATGACGAATGACTAGGTCATTCGAAGGTCAAATGACCTGGTCTTTACCATCACTGGACTGTCTGTCTGTTCAAACGGAAAAAAATTGCATTGGATAAAATTTAATAAAATATTCGGCTTTATGAATTATTGTGAGCGTTAATAATTTTTTTTTTTATAAAAATAAATTACTTTTGAGGTTTAAACCACAAGAGTTTATAAAAGAAAATTCTGGAATACTACAGAGTACAGATTTTTAATTTTATTTGAAATAATAACTAAAATAATTATATTATCACAATTTTTAAGCCGTAGAACAGCCTATATATAGTAATTATGAGTCTAATGAAACTATTTTTTCACGTTTAAGAAATTTTCGTCCAGTATTCCGAAACTATCCGAAACCTTGTTTGTAGATCATTTTAGCACGGTCACCTTAACCGTTGACAATGATTGGCCATCACGTGACTTTAGAAAACTTAATATAAAATTATATAAATGTATTTTTATACATATACATTTTTTTTTGTTTATAATGACAAAATTTATAACTTAATTGATATATATAACTAATTATAGTTAGGTAGCTTGGGCTTAATTCAAATATTTATTATTTATTATTTATTACATGAATAAGATGTCGATTACGAAAAAAGAATGTTTATTTTAAAGTGTAAATAAAACATATTAATTCAATTAAAATATATTAATTCAAAAATAATAATGGTTTATTTTTTTAAAATAAGAAATTGTAATTGTCTACGATCTTTAAATATAAAAATTATTTATTATAAAAAGTAATCTCGGATTTTATCGAATGATATGCAAACATAACATAATTTACGTGTCACAATCTGAAATCGAATTTCGATCGGTAAATATAGGAATAGAAAATCGTATGAGGCGCCAAGTGTAACCAGTGTAACAAAAAAAACAACAATATGGAAAAAACTATGCATTACGAAGATCATTAACAATGAAGTTTTTTGTTTGTTTAAAATCTACGAAAATGTGTTTCAGAAAAATGGATGTTTCGAGAAAAAATAATAACTTTATATGTTTTAAAATATTGTAATTTTAAATTCTCATCATTCATTATTTATTTATCAAAATGATTAAGAATATATTAAAAAAAAATAAAACCAAATTACGAAAGTTTTTCATTAATTTTTTTTCCTTTTTTCTTACGACATTATTGTTATCATCATAAAACGTCATAAAACGGGGGTGTAACATTTAAAAAAATCGAAGGATTTAACAATGTAAATCGTTTTAATCGATAGGATAGGATAAAAATAAATGAGATGATTGCTCCACATCCAAATAAAGAATAGTAACGGCTGTAGTAACCAAATAAAGAAATTGATCAATATTATCATGTCATGAATAATTTAGAAATGATAAACAGGTGAAATCTTGTATATAAACATCGAAATCTGACATGGCAAAATTTTCAGAAAGAAAAGAAAAGAAAATAATAAATATACAGTATCTAAAATAAAAATTAATAGCTTTATAATTTTTATAACTCCGTTATATAATTTTTAACTCATGATGCCAAAATCAAATTCAACTCTTGACGAAACTACTTCAGTTCCACCTAAAGCACAAGCGAATGCTGCTCCATTAGGTAAATACTATCATATTAGATACTTTCATAAATATAAATTCTTGAAAAAAAAGCCTAATTTTTTCTCTTTTTTTTTTTTTTTTGAAAAATAATTTTCAATAGGTTTATCATCTTTCGCGATGACTTTATTCGTTTTTTCAATGTATTTAATTGGAACCGGAGGAGTAGTCAATCATAATGTCGCTCTTGGTTTAGCTTTATTCTATGGTGGTTTTATTCAAGTATTAGCTGGAATTTTTGAAATGATGAGAGGTGATATTTTTCATGGAACGATTTTCCCATCTTTTGGTGGCTATTGGATCTGTTTCGGATTCATTAATTATGACGCCACAGGTATTCTTTCTTCTTATAAAGATAATCCAGAAATGTTAAGGAATGCACTTGGTATTTTTCTTGTGGGTTGGACAATTTGTAAGTATCTTGCTTTAATAATTATAAAAGTCATGGTTTAACTTGATTTTTCGAAATTACATGAACCTAAACATTATTATTTTTTTTTCCTTGAATAGTTGCTTTCATCATGTTATTATGTGCATTAAAATCGAATCTCGTGCTGATTACAATTTTATCCTTATTGGTTATCATTAATACTTTACTTACAACCGCAACCTTTACCGGATTAAAATCTTTCGAAGTCGCTGGTGGTGTTTTTGGAGGTAAATTCTTTTACCGATTGTTAATTACGTTTTTATTGTTAATTAAAAAATGATTGAAATTTTCTAAATATTTTTTTTTTCTTTTTTTTAAAAAAAATTTAGTTATCGCTGCTTTTTGTGCTTGGTATTTGGCATTAGCATTAATATTACAAAAAGAATCTTCTTATTTCACTTTAAAAACTTGGCCGATAGAACGTATACACACTTTATCTACTGATAAAGTTTAAAAGTAAATAGATGAACTTTTTTTTTTTTTTTTTGACAATTTTATTCGAACAATTTTACAAAATCACGAACTTAAAAAGAAAGTTTAAAGTGAAAAAAATTTTTATTCAAACATTTTAACAAATTTACGAGCTAAAAATTTTTATAATAATTTTTTTATAATTACTTTTCCTCTTAAAAATATAGATTGTATAGAATTAAAATAATTTTTAATAATTTTAGAACATTTATTTTATCAACATAGAATTTTTTTTTGTAAATAAAAATTATGCTTTTTGTTTATATAATATTCCGATGATTTCGATGATTTCGATAATATAAATTAATTTAATATAGTTGATGTGCGAGCGATACGCCCAAAATAAATTGATTTATAATTACGTTTAATAATCAATTTCAATTTACTCACGATTCATTTGTACGCCACTTAGGTGATTATGATGAAATATAAGAATTTTTTGACGGCGTAATCTTCTATATAGAATAATCATGCGATAATTGTCATAAATACGTAAGTAACCATTATTTCAGATGTTTATGATAATTTGTACAATAAATAAATCGTGTATGTAGCCAAAATAAATCGAATAATTTATTAGATAAGAAATGAACAACTATAAGAAACTTTGTAAGATCCTTACTACTCTATATATGTACAGTATATCAAAATAATATAATATAAAAAAAAAAAATGTTTAATATATCAATGATCATCTCTTGTTCTTCTGAACGATTTAGATTATCGTAAAGCTAAATCATCTATCTGTTGAACCGTTATTAAAATCAATTATATCTTACCGTTTAATTGATTATGTGAATTGTATTTATTGGCTAAATATCACGCGGTCACTAATAACCTGTATAATTTTGGCCCGAATTACAAATTTAATCAATTATTCATCATCAACGCTACGTCGCTACGATACTCAATTTAAATGAATTAATAATTACCTTTAAAAAGTTGCTTACTTTTTGGTATATTCCTGGTTCCCGATTACTTGGTTTGCCAAAATCACTAACTAAAAAAAGCGAAAAAAAAAACAATTAGAAGATGAAGATGCCATATTCTTATTTGACTTAATAAACACTTACTATTATCAGGAATAGAAAAGACGTTGTTTGTTGCATTATGAAATGCTAAAAGATTATGTAAAATAATTATGAATTAGTCATATATAAATAAATTTAAAATAAAAAATTGATTTAAATAAAAAATTAAAAAAAATAATTTATTACTATAAATATTTATAATGATTGATTAATATGCAATAGTACCTTCTGTTACATTTCTTGGTTCAGGACAATTTTCACAATTACGAATTTTGCTACTTGTAAATAATATGCTACTTCTTTCTTTTGCTTCTTTTAAACTATTTGTTTTATTTATTTCCAAATTGTTATTCTCTTCTAATTCATTTGGCATATTCAGATATTTTTTATAAATTTCATTTATTTTTTCCCAAAGTGTTGTAATGTCAGGTCTTTTTAATGGATCATCATCCCAACATTGTTTCATTAAATTTTCGTACTCTAAAGGAGTTCTTGAAATTATTATTGGTCTCTCGCCATTAATAATCCTAATTGCAAGACAACAATTATGTTTACAATTATTAAAAGGTGGTTGTCCAGATGAAATTTCCCACATTAGCATTGCAATACTGTAAATATCAGATTTAAAAGTATATCCTTTATTAGAAATAACTTCAGGCGCTATATAGGGAAGATTTCCGTATACATCATTTGGTGATTTGTCTGCAGGACCGCAAAATGCAAGATCACTAATAAATAATCTTTGATTGACTTGTTTCAATAATATATTACCAGAATGTAAATCTCTATGAATTGCATCTTCTTTATGAATCTGTCTGAGTGCGGTAATTATGTTATAAACCAAATGAATTCTTTTTTTCCATGTAAGTTGATTATTTTTTTGCTGTAAATATTCTCTTAAATTCAAATCCATTCTATTCATTACAAGCATGTAATCTCCATTTGATGGATCTCGTGTTAAACCATAACACTGGACAATATATGGAGATTTACTGCTTATAGTCAAATGTGATTCGGCCTATAAAGTATTTTTTCAAAATTTATTACCAATAAAAAAAAATAAATTATTTACTTAATTTAAAATAACTTCAAATTACAAACCTCTTTAAACCAACGTTGATTTGCATTTTCAACATGTTCTAGCCTTTTAAGTATCACTTTTTGTCCTCCAAATCTTTTTAAATGTTGTTCTTCAGAATCCCATTTTTGATATTTTCCATTGTTCCAAATTGCCGTATAAATTTCTGAGAATCCACCTTTTGTAAGATATTCAATATCTTGTAAATTATTGTATGGAATCCATTCAATTACAACATCTGGTCTACGTGTTTCCATTTGACATTTTTTTATTAAATTATCAATATCATTATTTCCAGATGTCCAATTTGGAAATTTTTTTTCTAAATAATTTCTAATACAATATTCACAATATAATGTAGCTAAACATTCACAATTACAAATTTCACAAATTCTTTTTGTACCTATATTATGAAAAATTTTATTGTGATCGTAAGTTTTATTTATTCTTCTTATCGCTTCAGTTTTTTCATCATCGGTAAAAGTTTCATTAGCAAGAACAGTCTGTTTTATAAATTGATATTGTTCGTCTATATTTTTATGAGTTTCATAATTGATTGATGCAAATGCTCTATTAATTTCTGTATTAATCAATACTATTCGCATAATGAAAATATAAATATATATATTTTTTGAAAATTTTTTAGGTGTTCATACACGTATCACGTGAGTATATTAAAAAGTTATGTAAAAAAAAAAATTTTTAATATATATAATTTAAAAGGAACATGCGGTATGTGTATTTTTGTGTTCTGCAAGTTTACTTAAATACTTAAAGCGTGAAAGTTGATTTTGAATGTCAATTTTGATTTATTTAACAAATTCTTGTTTTTTTCCTTGTTTTTGTTTAAATTTAATTCTGCCCAACATTAAATGATCAGCATAGAAAATGTAACTTTTTTGGAAACCGTGTTTGAACACCCCGTGTACAAATAGAAATCGTCGATTTTTTTTTTATGAAAAAATAGGTGAAATATATTGAGAAGTGAAAGTTTTAGGGGACGGATTTTTATGTTTCTTTTATAATAATTTTGTGCAATTTAACAGATGAAGTATCATTATATACATTTGATGTAGAGAATTTGTACTGAGTATTACAACTGCATCCTTCACAAGGAACGTTCTTTTATAATAATAATGTGCAACGCGTCCCTCCAAAAGCAAACGTTTAAGGAACGTTCTTTTATAATAATTATGTGCAACTAAATAAACGCCAACTTTTAACAGATGAAGTCGCGTTGAGCAATGATGTGCATTGGAAACTTCGATGACTCTTTAATGGAATTGTAAGGCTTGGAATTGGAAGAATTGGAAGATTCCAATATTCCAATAATTTTCAACACATTATATGTATAATTATATTTCCATGTGCATTGAAAATTTATTGGCATTGGAATGTTTGGAGTTGATTCTTCCAATGCACATCACCTGGCGTTACATACTTTTGAAATTTACATATAAACATATATACATGAATATTATATTTGTATAGAATTTGTACTGGGTATTACAACGGCGCCCTTTGTTTTATGTTTCAAATAACACGAGAAATCGTTGCGAACTTACCAAGACTAGTTTAATTATTCATTTTTTTTATTATTTATTTCTCAGTCGCAGCAATTACTAAAATAACCGGACAACACCGTTAAGATGTGCCAATAAGATAATCAAAATATAGATACTACACAAATAAAAAACAAACAAAAATGGTACAGGGAATGAACAAGATCAGGATCAAGTGATACTGTAAAGTCAAATATTTATTTTGATCATCATGTGATACAATGTGACACGTGCATATTGTCATTAATTCTATTGGGCTTTCATTTGTCACTCATCACATGAAATATCTTAAATAATGGTACAATACGGAAAATACGAACCCGTATTTTACTTTATTTACTTTTATTACAAAGAATTGCTTCACTACTATGCTGTAAACCAGAGCACAAAATCTATTCAAAATTTGCCGGTTTTTACAGTTTTTTACGAAAGGTTTTTATTAATCCGTGAAAATTTTTTATCAATATCGGAAATTTTATTAATATAAAAAATATATTACATTTTTCAATAATCCAATAATCCTTTATTTTAGTAATCATTTATATAATATAAATATAATTTTTAATACCAGTAATTATTCCAGATAGTAAATGCACGGTTATAATCGAACTTTTGAACTTTCTGGTCCTTCTAAAGAAATTCGCATTAACGTATCTAAATATGTTCGGCCACATGTTCCAATGCAAAAAAAAAAGGAATTTCCGTAATTTTTAAATCTTTTTGGAAATTTTCCGAAATCTTTTTCAAAAACTTTTTTTGTGCATTGTACCGAAAATTACATTTAGATATAGATATTTGGTAAACCCAAATAAAGGTACATTTTTTCTAAATGGAGGAAAAAAAAAATTATCCAAATATGGAAGTTCTTTGTAAATTCTTAAAATGTTTTTTTCGGTACACAATTTTTCTAATATAAAAAATTTGGAATTTTTTTGAATTACAAATAATATTTTGTTATTTGTGGCTTAAGGTGCATCAAAATCAAATAAAGAAATAATAATAATTGTATTATTTATAATTATTATATGTTTAGATATTGAATGATTATATTATAGTGATTATATTTAGTAAAATCATTAATTACAATCTTATCAGATACTCAGATGGATTAAAGAATATGGCGGAATATTAAAATCTTTTTTAAGATTATGCAGTTTCATATTCGATAAGACGATAACGATAACTTTAGAATGTTGATTTAATTGATAATCATAATCTATAAACTATAATAATCTAAATAATCTCAATAAATTAATGTTTGATATGTTTGATTTTTTTTTTTATGTCTCTTTATATTTTTATATGTATGATACGTAATTTTTTTTTTTTATGATGAGAAAATATTTATGAAGAATTCTTTTGAATGTTATATAGTTATAGTCCTATTTATTTATGTTACGACCTTAAAATTTTCAGTCGTTCGTAGAACTTTTTTTTTAAATATTTGTACAACAAATTATGTAATACTGTATTGGTGTAAAAGTTTTCCATTTGAAAGAGTTTGAAGTCATTGTTTATAATCGCAAAGATTTATTTGTCGATCACTTGAATCATACGAAAGACGAGACGTACCAACTTAGACTATTAAATTCGGGAAGTTTTTCGGTGAAAATCTAATTTAAAAAACGATTTTTTTGGTTACGCATGAATGCATGCTTTATAAAGAACCTTGTTTGGGTAAATAAATTATTTTCGCTTATTGAATTTTTATTCCGTAACTTTGTATCACGGAAAATAAACGTACAAGCTTATGTTTATACTATGTATTGTTACTCTGCCTATTGATCTAGGTACAATTTCCAGATATGGTTAAATAATAGACCTTTTTTTTTATTCTTTATGTTTAAAAAGAATTTATTGTATCTGTTTTCAAGTTGTTATAAAACACCTCTCAGGCCTCGTATAATGATTATTCACTTCCAAATGAAAAATACGATAATTTGATGCATCATGATAATCATTTTCATTTAATAATGAATATATAATCAATTAATCAACTTATTTAGGTCGGTTATCTCATAGTCCCGTCAAACCGATAATATTATTATTGGATGATTTAAACTATAAAATAGTCTAATGCGGCACTACGCCACTACGTGCCGCTATTAGACTATTATTTAGTTTAATCATCTAATAATATACGACAGAAAAGTTTATCAATAGTCTATATAAGTTTATTTTAACAAATTTTTACAAGGAAATACTTTTAATAATTGTAATATTACTTTTAATATGAATCAATAAAATGTTTTTCTGATATTATAATATTACTTTTAATAACAGTGTTTATTACAAAATGAATAACTCCTCCTACTAACAACAATAATAAATAATATACAGTATATAGTTTATCCGATGCTATAAGCTTTAATTAATGAAAATGAAATGTCTAGAATTAAATCAAGTTATGGTCATATGTAACCATACAATAATTAATCATATGGTAAGTCTTGTGTCAATTTGTTACATTCCTTCATTTGTATTCTTCATTTCCTAACTAGTTTGACCTTTCTAGTTCTTGTTTCTTATTTAAGAGAACAAAAAAAAAACACCATACTGCGGATTTCTGGCTTTTTATCAAGATGAAATTATAACTTCACCTCCGTTATTAGATAATTGGAGCCCGGTTGATTGCTGAAGATCATGGAGAAAGGAATTATGAAGATCTGAAGAAGAAGGTGTGGTTATTTTTATTTTGCCAAGTGTGGGCAACTCCTGGTTACCTGCCGCGCTGATCGGGAGAATTACTGGGGTTTGATACTGGTATCCACTCCAGGTGTTCTTAATTTGGGCGCCCAAACTTTGTTGTTGATAAAGGTCCACTGATTCCAAAGGAGGAATCAGTTATACGCCTTTATTACTAAATAAAAAAATGATGCACTGCTAACATTATTCCCATATAACAGGTAGATTTGTACCATTCCGGTGATGATTTGAAAAGATAATTGAGGAACGTGAAAGGCGTGAAAAGGTGAGTGGATAAATTATGAAATTCTTGTGTAATGGTTGTATAATTCACTAAACTAAACTATTACTATAGAATTCCACTATAAAACAAAAAACTGTAGATAAAGAAAATGTTTAACCATGGATAAAAAGAAAGATTTCTTCACCTTCAACTAGAAGGGGCATCATCATCATCTTCTTTGATTCAGGTTACTTTATCTTCAATTCTTTCAGAAGAGATCTCTTTATCGACTGTTATATGCAAAACTATACTGAACCTGGTTATGTAATAAGTCAAATTCAAGTACCAAGTCCACTGAGCAACAATTTCCTGATGAGATCGCAAATTGGGTGGGGTTTGAACAGGAAGTAAGAGCATGGAAACCAGAGGAGGACATCAAATATACAAAACCAACGTTCAGTAAGGGTTAGAATGTCACTTGCGAAAAGGACATTTGGACTGCATCAGATATTAATATATTTGATGCATTAACACCATTGGATCAATCCATTCTTTTTTTGGATGGTCGTGTCTTAAAGGATATGATCAGACAACCAGATTTTGTTGTAGTAAATGGTAACATGTTACTACTCATGGCTTGGAAATGCAAACCTAAGTGGGTTTTGTAAGTACCCCAAAATGAGGATATTGTCTCTTTCTACTATCAGGAGAAGAAAGGACGAGAAGGGACATTTGTTTATTTAAAAGATATTTCTGTATTTGACCCTATAAATTAGATATATGGCTATATATGTGCCAATAGTTTGAGGTAAAAAAATCCCATTTCTCCTTTTATTATATTTAACAGATTTTAACATGACTATTTTATTCTATAGGTATGGCGTTCTTTCAATATATGACCAAATGTGGTTCCTTAAAAGGAAAGTATATAGAGTAGAGGAAGAAAACTATGGGTTATTAAGTATATCGGGCTTTATTAAAAACACATCAACAGACCCTACATTACTTAGGTCCATCGTTTATATTATCAACCTCGCCTCTAATGATCGTTATACACCCTTCCTTAAAAAACCCACAATGATTTGCTAATGATACCAATGAAGCGTTATTCCATAAAATTCATGATCTGTTTTAATCTAATAAATATAATATATCAGTAAAATTAATAATTTAATTGAGAATTTTTTTTTAATCTTTTTTTAATTTTTTTTAATAGGGAAAATGTATTTGTGCTTACGGGACGATGAATGCTACAATTATCACGCGTCTCGTGTTGCAACAATTCAAACTATTTATTATAGATACATGATTGATCTATTTAAAAAATATTGTCATTTGATGCCAAGTAAACAATACATTTATTTATTTCATTTTCTTTGTAAAAAATTTTATTTCTTGCAATGAATTTTATATACTGTATTTATTTTTAAAAAATAAGTTTTATTAATATATATATAACTTACATTGATGTCACACGAAATTTATGTATTACCGTATCCAAACTACCCCTGCAGACTAATATTTTATCGCATCTCTTTGTGGATTAGAGCCAACATAACTTAGACATATCAAATTGAAATTTTGAATTATCACACTATTAATTAGAGTTATTGCCTTAATATTATCAAAATTTGTAAAATTGGTATGTAAGTAAAAATATACGTGAGAGTCGAGAACAACCAGAATTTAGGAGTAACTTGATTTTTATTATATATAACTAATGAATTAATAATTAAAACTTTATCTGTCTACAATATTTCTACAAATCAAATAATAAAATAGAATATTAATGAATATGAATGTTTTTGGAAATAAACCCAAAGGTAATTTCAATAATTTCCACAATTTTTTTAACAAAATTTTTTGTAATTCTAATAAATTATTATTATTACTTTATTAAACGAAATTTTTAAAAAATTATAGGAGAATTTTTTTTTAAATAATATTTTACATAAACAACAAATAAGGTAGGACTATCGTTTCTTTCCTCTATGATATTCTGGTCATTTTGAATTCAAAAGTGGGCTTATGAATAACGGGAAAAACTGTAATTACGTAAGAATATCATCAAACGTCCGCATCACGTTTATAAGTAGATCGCCAAACTGGGTCTGCGTCACGTTTATGTTCAAACGGTACTGCAACTGCCGCATCTGCATCAATAATGAATTTAAATTATCATTAAAGGAACCCTTAATATTAATATAATTAACAAAAAGAAAATTTTCTTTAAAATAAATGATGATTTATTTACCAACTAGAAATGCGTCTAACACCAGGGACTCCGTCCCTGGACAACCTTGCCAGTAATGCTGATAATCTACTGATAATTTAATGTGCAATTATCATTTGTTTAATTGAAATATGATATAATGATAATAAAATCAAAAGTGAAGTGAAAGAAAATTAAATAAAAATGAAATAAATAAAATAAAAAGTGAAAAATAAAAAATGATAAAAAAAAAAAAAAAAAATTTACATAATTTCATTTTTATTTCCCAACGAAAATTTAAAATTTTTTCTGATAGAAATTTGGCCTTTTTTTGAGTTTTGGAAAATAAAAAAAAAAAAAAAAAAAAAAAAAAAAAGGCTAAGAAGGGGGTCTGGGGGTGACTCGGTCACCCCAGAAAAAAAATTTTTTATGTATTTTTAGCGATTTTAACCTTTATAAAAGAGGAATTTTTGAGAGATAGGATTTGTATATATTTTGGTACAAAAATAACATGGGGCATTAATTATATATTAGTTTTAATTTGGTGTTATCAATTTTTATTAAAACAATGATTGAATTCATTTACAAAGGTAATGGAGTTGATGCTATTTGTTCTAGTCGCTCATATTCTTCAATCATTGATTGATCTGTAATAAATGCAGAAGGATTTAAAGTTGCAATATAAACATTTGACCAGTTTGGACACCTACTTAATGCGACATATGCTTGACCTGCTGAGAATATTTGATTATCTAAGAATAAGGATACTTTATATAAGGTTAAACCCTGTGTTTTGTGAACGGTAAGAGCATATGAATTTTGTAGGGGAAATTGGCATCTACTTGAAGGTTTACCATCAACAAAAAATGTTGCAGTATCTCTTTTAATGATTATATCCACAATACCACCTACTACACTAAATGCTACTCTAACTTCTAATTTTTCCAAGTCAACATCAGTTATTATACCTATTGTACCATTACAAATTTTATGCTCTGCTAAATCATTTTTGAGGTACATTACTCGAATTCCTTGTTGTAAACGTACATAATTAGGATAATTGGTTTTGCTTTTAAATAATTTTTTTGATTCATCAGGATTATATGATTCACCATTAATAAAGTCAACTGCGGAATAAATTAAAAACTTATTTTGGTTAATTGGAAGCATGTTGCAAATCATATTATTAATTCGGTTTGCTGTTTCTTTGTATCCTACAATATTTGTTATATCAAGTGTTGTGTGAAGTGATTTCTGGTCAAACTCTGCAGCTTTTTGATATAAGAAATTCCAAGTGTTTAGAGTCATTTTGACCATTCTAATCTCTTGTAATGCATTGAAATATCGTGGATCTTGACCTTGACGTTGTGGCTCTTTCAAGAATAATGGATAGAACAATTTCCATTCTGATGACTTGTATACAGGCAATCCAGTTACTGGAGGTAATTGTGCCAAATCTCCAACTATAATTACATTTAATCCTCCAAATGCAATTGTTGTTTGTTGTATAACAGAAAACATTTCTGAAATAAAACTAAGAAGTGCGGCAGATACCATTGAAATTTCATCTATGATTAAAGTGTCAATCTGTTGCAAATTTTTGAAAAATTCATAATCATGAAATGCTAAGGTTTGAAATCCATTTTGCATTTCACGAATTCTCAATGCTGAATGGATTGTCTGACCTCCAATATTCTGTGACGCCACACCAGTTGGGGCTAATAATAAGTATTTTGATCTTTTATTTTTAAGATCATTAACAATTAAATTAATAATAAAAGACTTTCCTGTTCCACCAGGTCCTGTAATAAAAAAGTATGGGTATTTATTTCTTTGTGTTTTAGGACCTAGAATGTTTTTAATAGTAGAAAGTACATGTAGTTGATCATTAGGAAGATTAAGAGTAGAGCATTGTGGAAGAATTGGTGGATTGATTCGTAAAGAAGTAAGTTGTATATTAATTAGTTCTGAAGTTGAAGGTGGAATGATATCTTGTAAATTATTTAATAAT